GTGATATCGCTCACCTGCTGAACCTTTAGCAGTAGAGGTCAAAGGTCACAGTGGATTGCCCTAATGGAGAATGAGTAGCTCGGACAACACTTGTTCTAAAAACACAATGAGACCAGAGCTGGACTGGGAACAAAATTCGGCACTGGGATTTTTCCTCTGGACAGGCCTACCCTGCTCAATTCGAAATTGATGGGGGTGGGCCCAAATGTGGTCTGAAGTGGACTGGCCCACCGGCCATTTGCCCGGTAGTACAGATTACCAGTCTGAGCTTGAAGCAGACTTTAACACACCTTTTTTCCCAACACATAGATTAACTCAAGAGGATAAAGTTAATTTGACCCAGTTTGATTTAGAAATTAACCTATACAGGGCATATTTTTCTAACAATAAACTATAACATACGTAGATCATTAGTTGACATTTTCATTGTAAACTGGTCTAAAATGTTTTAGTAATAGAAATGGGACTACATGTTTGTTTGTTTTTTAATTGAGAACTGATAAGCCTGTTTAGAGTTGGATTTCTCCTTCTGAATCAATTTATTTTGTTGTTAACAAATGGTTAGTCTTTATGTGAATGATCCGAAGTCTAGATGTTGTGAATAAACTAAATATAGAGACATGGGCATGCATAGGAGGCAGGTGAAAACAGAACTTTTGGGGGCACCCTCAGATGCAGGATAATACAAGATTACTCAAACATCAATCAATGAAAATACAACTTTATTAGGAATTGTTGTTGTTGTTGTCGTCGTCGTCGTCGTCGTCGTCGTCGTCGTCGTCGTCGTCATCGTCATCGTCATCGTCATCGTCGATGAAGATGAAGATGAAGATGAAGATGAAGATGAAGATGATGATGAAATAATAATAATGTATTAGGAAACACCATTGCAACATGGCATTAGCTTAATACAACCCCTTTAAAGAATAAAAAATACATTTTAGTTTTCTGTTAAATAATTTCAGAATTAATTTGAATGTTGTGTTTATTTATGTCATGTGCTTAGGGCATAGTAGTAGTAGTAGTGCAGAGCTGCCTGTCAGATGAGGCCTAATTGAAGTGAATTGACCATCTGTCTGTGTAAGGCCGCAGACAGGGTCATTAGCACAGACATGTCCAGCCATAGGCCAGGCCAAAAGGGGAGTCACTCTCCATCACTATCACTGCCTCGCCTCTGCATGCACCATATGTTTGGATTCACTTTATTATTAGGCTACAAACATTTATTAGACCTGCTAAAACATTGGTGTGCGCAATGTTCTATAAGAATATGTTGGGTGAATACGGGGCAGGTAAAATGTCTATTGCTAAGGAGCAGATTTGATCTTATATTTATTGTAAAAAAAAGTTTCTATTCACAGGTAGAAACAAATACACTTAATTTTGCATTAAATATAGACAGTAGCCTATTATCAAGTTAGCACTCATTTTTTTCATCACAATGAAAACACGGTTAGTTCTTTGCATTATTGTTCAATTTTTGGCCTTTCATCAGTGAATTCTGTTCCTGTCTTTTTTTCCCCCGCATTATTTTCAATTACAGTTATGTTCTATTTCGTAATTGCCATAGCAGCAGTATGTATGCTTAATTACTTTTTATTTAAATATATAAATAAATAAACAAACAAACAAATAAATAAATAAATAAGCAATGCCGCAGTGATGAGTTTATCTATGCAGTAACCTGCTGACCTCTGGTGGCAAATACTCGAACATGCAATCAAATTTAATCCTATGCCTGCAAAAGACTTCAGAATCTATTCAATTTGGGCGATACAGTGCACATGACTTAGCATTCATTCCTAATTTATCAATTGTAATTATTATAGAGGCTGAAGGGTCTACACTAATGGTGGCACAGCAAGCTTAAACAGGTCTTCTGAAAGTGAATGCACCTCTTGTTATCTTCACACTGGCTCGCTAATAACCTCTAACCTCCTGTGCTTTGGTGCCAGGGTTAGGTCACCTCTCCAGGCTTCCTGCCAGTTCAAAGGCATTTGAAAAGTAACAGTCCAGAGCAGGAAAACTTACTGCAGTAAATCAGGAACCCATGGTGTGGCTGCAGGTCCATGGGGAGGGATGACGCTGTTTTTGTGCTCTTGGAATTAGTAGACTGTGGATGGAAAGTTTAAAAAGATAAAAACTCTTGTATTCAAAGAACAAAGACTAATGTTTACTTTATATGTGAGGCAGACCGGGGCTTTCAGTGTAACTTTTCACCAGTTATAGTTATGGCAGGCTTACCGAATAGGCCTATGGTTAACTTTACTTTTGGAATCTATTTATCTTTCTTTCTCCGTAAGACAAATACATTTTCTATGGCAATATGTTATGTGTACATGTTCAGTAAATACACAGTGAAATATATTATTTGTGTTTGTGAAACGCAGTGTATTTCATTGTAGCAGTACTGGGCATGTCCCGTAGGAGGCGCTTGTGCTGCTCCGTTAGCCTTAGCCGGAGCTAACAAAGTGCCGCTTATTCATTTGGTCTGATCAGATCGCACTGGTGCGACGCTATCGGGAAATGCTGTAGGAAGAGCACAAACTATCCCAAATGTGCGTTTACAAGACGAATAGCTCTGCTAAACATAATCTTCATCTTTAGTAGAGACTCGAGGGAACACGCTGGGAGAAGGATCGATCTTTTTGCCGCTATCGGACCCGCTTTGGAGCTCACAAGTTTGAAAAGCTTTCTCCGCCGATGCTTGCTAACTGCTAACCTAGCCTGCTAGGTAAATACCAGCCTCCCAGCCTAAAACCTTCGGGTTTTCAGTTTACCATCAGTACTGACTGTTCCGGGGATGTTGTAATTCACTATGCGTGTGGAAGAACGTCGTTGCTCTGAGATGGATGCGCTTCTCTTCATAAACAGCTAATTGGCTTGTGTTAGCTTATTTGTAATCAAGCTAACGCTGCCTGCACAGCGAGCAACTTCTCCCGGAGTGTCGGAGCTAATCACAGCCACACTGGCGCTACGGACAACATCTGTTGCGGAGCTCCCTTCAACAGCAGCCATGTTTGAAATGGAGACTCACATATCGTGCCTTTTCCCTGAGATCCTCGCCATTATTTTTAGTTACCTGGACGTGAAAGACAAAGGCAGAGTGGCTCAAGTGTGCGCGGCCTGGAGGGACGCCTCGTACCACAAGTCTGTGTGGAGGGGGGTGGAAGCCAAACTCCATCTACGGCGAGCGAACCCGTCCCTGTTCCCCAGCCTGCAGACCAGAGGCATCAAGAAAGTGCAGATTCTGAGTCTCCGGAGAAGTCTGAGCTACGTGATCCAGGGCATGCCACATATCGAGAGCCTAAACTTGTGTGGCTGTTTTAACCTGACAGACAACGGACTGGGACACGCTTTTGTACAGGACATCCCGTCCCTGCGCGTGCTCAACCTGAGCCTGTGTAAGCAGATCACGGACTCCAGTCTGGGCCGCATCGCGCAGTACCTCAAGAACCTGGAGGTGCTGGAGCTAGGAGGCTGCAGCAACATCACCAACACGGGGCTGCTGCTTATCGCCTGGGGCCTGCACCGACTTAAGAGCCTAAACCTGCGCAGCTGCAGGCATGTCTCCGACGTGGGCATAGGACACCTGGCGGGAATGACACGCAGCGCCGCGGAGGGCTGCTTGTCTCTGGAAAAGCTCACCCTGCAGGACTGCCAGAAGCTCACTGACCTGTCCCTCAAACACGTCTCCAAAGGTCTGAACAAGCTGAAAGTCCTTAACCTGAGCTTCTGTGGAGGCATTTCGGACGCTGGCATGATCCATCTGTCACACATGACCAACCTGTGCTGCCTGAACCTCCGGTCATGTGACAACATCAGTGACACAGGCATCATGCACCTTGCCATGGGCACCCTCTGCCTCTGTGGACTGGACGTCTCTTTCTGTGATAAGATTGGAGACCAAAGTCTGGCTTACATAGCACAGGGCTTGTACCAGCTCAAGTCCCTCTCCCTCTGCTCCTGTCACATCAGTGACGACGGCATCAACCGCATGGTGCGCCAGATGCATGAACTGAAGACTCTGAACATTGGACAGTGTGTCCGCATAACTGACAAAGGGTTAGAGCTCATAGCTGACCATTTGACCCAGCTCACAGGGATAGACCTGTATGGTTGTACAAAAATCACTAAAAGAGGTTTGGAGAGAATCACGCAGCTCCCATGCCTTAAAGTGTTAAACCTGGGACTGTGGCAGATGACTGAGAGTGAGAGGATGAGGTGAGGACCACTTGTCATGTCTGTCGTTTACCTCGACATGCGTCTCCACTCTTCTTTGAATTTTGTTGGCTCTTACTTCAGCCCACATGGGTTCCATGAGCTACCTCACCCTTTGACACAAGAGTGCCTACTATTGTTGAAAAAGGCATTGACTATTTTTGTGACCCAAAACAATGGACATTTTCATATTAAGGACTTTTTATTGAAGATAAATAGTTAGATGTTTTATTCACAATAAACCCAGAGTATCATTTGAAGTTTTAATAGCATATTCTTTGTGTTTGATGTATTTTTTACTAATGTAACAAATATTTTTTGTACTGAATGATTGACAAAATTGTACTTCAAATTGAAGTGGTTTGATCACTCCTGTCGCTTTGTTTACTTGTGTACAGTTTGATAATGTTTGATATTCCTGAGGAAAATTATGTACAAGGTGTTTCAGTATGCCATTGTGTAAAAAGAAATCTGCAACATCGCTACAGCAAATAGAAATGAACAGCTCTGAGGCCAATATGCAATGTCCTACTTTACCAATGGTGTTTTCTCCCAGAGCTTCCACTAATAGTATTGGTAAAATAAATCAGCAATTTAAGATGGTTTTATACTCACACAGTAGTGATATTTATGAATAAACATTGAAAATGTTTAAAATTGAGTGGTTTTCAACTTCTAAATTTCATCTTTTGTTAAACATGAACATAACTTCAACTCAGTATTTAGAATTTTAAAATCCATAAAGAGTGATAATGTAATAATGGCTACAAGCTACAAGACAAGGCTTATAATTTATTTATTTACATACATACAAAACCAATGTAACTCACAAACATGTCTGTTAGGCTTTCTTTTTACACAGTTTGACTCGAACACAGACAGAAGGCAGTACATTTCTTTCATTTAAACTTTACACGAGCCCCATAAAATAAGCTGTGTTCCACAATAAAAAGTCAAAAGAATGATTAATTTGACATTAAGGCAAGGCAGGTACACAGGCCAAAGTAATGGAAAATCAGAAGAAAATGCTTCCATTGTAGAGGCCAGCATTTCAGACTGATATTGAAAAGACTGAGACTATGAGCAAAAATAAGCATTCACCTGACATCTCTCCAGTCTTAGTCCTGTAGGATTCGTAAAGGTTTGAAATTCAGATCACACATAAAGCACTTGGTCTGTAATACTGTGGTTTACACCTGAGACATGAATGAACACTTATTTTTACACATCAAGAAACTCGCCTTTTGACATTTAATGAAAAGTTGACAAACACAATACAGACAACACTGGAAGTAATAATACAGAACATCACTCAATGGTAAAAGATATAAAAATGACTATTAAAAATAAATGCCAGAAAGTACGCTTCCATCACGGTCACGGTTTAAAAACATTTGAGTTCACACATTACTTTGACACAAGTTTTTTTTTTTATATATTTTTTGACACTTCAGTTTTTTGCTGAGGGAACTGACTTCAGCGGTCATTTTGATCAGAGCAGTTGTGCCCTTTTAAATTCTGTGCAAACATTCAATGCATATCCATACAGTAAACATTTTTATATGTAATTCATATTTTTATATATATATTTCTCTATTGAACATGACTTCCCATAACGTATGGCAGTACTGTCACACACACTCACTTTGTCCTGCAGACAAAATTGGACACAAAAACTGCACTGCGTTTCAGATTTTTTTTTATGAAGAATGCACACCATCCACTTGATTACCTTTATTCAATTACTGTACGAGTTACTTATATTTACAAAATGACTTCAAAGTCAAATTTTGAAATGTGAGTAATTCCGTGGAAATGTATTGTGCACTTTGTAATTAAAAATCTCAGCCCTGAAGATTTCAAAAAAGACATTAAAAGAGGTATCACTTTGCGATTGTAAGTGATTGGAAAAATACAAGATGATGCTGCTTGCATTTTTCTGTGAATCTATAAACTAATGATGGGCTTGATGGGTTTTTTCTACAAACTTTGGATGAATAATCTCTTAATGGGGTCAAAAATTTTTACACCATGCCTTAGCACCATTATTACAGAGAAATCGCATCTCCCTGCGATAGGTCCAGTACTGATGTCTGTGCATGCTCCACTAAAGGCCACCAAAACGTCCTCGAACCAAGCATTGCATACCTCATAAACAAGTTACATGTGCAAAACCATTGGAAAGAAATAGTACACCACTAATAAAAAGCTTTTAATCCCCTCTCCCACCTCAAATAAACTCAAAAATATAAAGTAAGAGACCTTATTTATGTCAAAGGTCATGCCCTGATCCCCCTTCTAATGCCCAGGCCACAGTAAAGCAGATCTACTTCTATGAGAAATCCTCCGTATGCCTTTTGCTTATAACCGTAATGTATGTGTTAAAAGAGCAACAACATTACAGATATTTTACACTCTGAGCAATTCACACCTCTCTCCTCTGGATGTAGCAGCTCCCTAATTTTTCTTAAGACTGTTGTCAAATGTATGAGTTGTTGAGGTAACTGTGCTTACTTAAATTGTTGCAGAGACCGGTTAGTGTAAGCTTGGCAGTTTAGCCTAAAACTCTGTGCGATGATCTACTCTGGAAAAAAATTGTGCTCAAATTACCATTGCATTTTAAACTTAAAATTAAAAACAAAATTGACTAATGTTTGCTTTTAGCCTTGCTGTTACCTTATCAAAAACATACCTTGAGTTGTGTTTTGTTTTATTTCCACATCTTTGAGTAATGCTGCATTTGTCTCCAAAACTCAAAGAGCTCTGTTCCACCTTGTGATATCATATCATAACTAGAATACCTTTAATAAAATATATGTTTGTTGAACTTTTGTTCAGATGAGATTGTCACATGGAGGGAGTTTAGAAACGCACTTCCTGTAAAACCACTTGATGACATCATAAGGTGGAACAGTGTTTTCAGTTTGAGAGAAGGACACAGCCTAAATGTGCAGGATTTGTGTGTTAAACGTATGAAAGAAGCTAAACACAGTATGTTTTTGATGGGGATACAACAATTTAACACAGATCAAAAATGTGCGCAATATGGGCCCTTTAATATGTAGTTTGAAATGCCATTACCTATTCAAGAGTCCCTGATTTTGCAAGTCTGACGTCCGATTTACACGTGACAACAAAGCCTTAAAAGCAATTTTTTCTAGGGTGGGTGAGGAGAAAGATGAGGACGCTCAGGTATGTGTAACTATACCCTGAAGCTTTTCTTCAAGCAGTTGGAGGAGGTCTATAAGAGTATTTACTAAGGTCAGGGTTAGCTCCTCTGTGTCCGTGGGTTAGCATGACTCCTCCAGAGCATTAACAACCTGCTCTAGGATGTCAGGGCAGTAATCTGCGATCTGCTGGAGAACACAGTTTGCATATTCCTGCAGCTCGGCGCTCTCCTTTTCACACAACTCCAGCTCCCGTTCCAACTGCAAGAGAGAAAATACGAGAACGTAGCATCAAGTCCATCAACAGAGATTTAAGGCCTAGGGCAAGGAGGATCACTTAAGTCTCCCGTTAATATAAATAAAATGGGAAGATTTGATGGGTATCCACTTTAGCATGTGCTGTTCTTGTATGTTATAATTTGATGTTTTGGATGATTGATTTGAGGCTCATTCTACTTTCTGACTGGACAATGAGTCTCTTTTGTGTTTGTCCAATTTGTTTAAATCCAGTTGGTTTAAACCTAAAATGACTCTCTGATCTGAATCCTCACTACCTAAACCCCAGCAGCCAATCATTAATCAGCACATCTGCAGCTGTAGCATATGCTGTCCATGCAATGAGAATGAGCAAAACTTGTGTGTCCTCTATCTGCAGGTTTAAGCACTGGCAAGCGAGTAAAGGAGGTTACATGAAGTTATTTTAATATACTGTAAATGGAAGGGCGCTTTCACACCGCTAGTTTGATAAGTTCGTCCACACCAGGTAATAAAATTGTTATTATGTAACATATATACTCCAGTGTGGTTGGCTTTCACACCTGCAAACCAACCAAAATCGGTCCGATTGACGTATATCCAAGGCTCCTGCGTACAGCGGGTTCGACTGTGTGTGGTACGGGGACGCTGAGGCTCTCCCACACACGGCACGCCAGACCTCTCAGAAACGAGGCCGAGAAGCACTGTCTCACCCAGTGGCCTTACCACGGAGCCCCTCTGTGGGATTCAGATTGCATGGGCCGGTCCCCATCGCCCTCAAGGGAAAACAAACTGAACCAAGAGCTTCTGGTTCGAATTGGAATGTTTGATGCACACCAACTGCTGTTGATGTGAAAGTACCCTTAATTTAAAAATAATCCTATGAATTAATTCCATGTGGTCCCTGCTCCCTCTACATTACACTCAAGCAAAAAACATATTAAGCTCTGACATGCTTTTATTTTGTTTTGGTTTTTTTTTGCTTTGATACTGCTTTCATGAATAGTGCCTATCACCTGTTGGTGTGTCATCTTCTGGAGTTCATCCTCCCAGTTGTCAGGATCGTTGTGGTGGTAGTGTGAAGGGGGCATGAGCTGGCTCAGGATGCTGGGATCCCTCTCATGGCACAGGTCGGTCAGATGGGCAATGTAGAGCTTGAGCTTGCTGCGATTCTGGGACAGGGCTACAACAGGGGGGATCATCTGCAGATAGATAGACAAATACAGACATTACAATGGTATATCAAGAAGGATATAAATGGGACTTAAATGCAGCTTGACAAATGAATGATGGATTTTTAACAAAACATTATGGCTGAAAAAATAATTGCAACTTATCTTAGAACTATTGAAATTTAGGATTAATTTCAATAATATAGTCACCACACTGAAAGAATCACATGCATTTCAGCCGAAGTGGGAAGAGCCAAAAATTGTACTGAAGTATGTCATTTTCAAGTAGAAGTAAAAGAAATACAAGAAGGGGAAATACAAGACAAATACAATTTTTGATTCTCAACATAAAGCTTTTGTCACTAACCAGTCAGTAACCAAAACTTTTACTCAAGTAAGAGTACTTTTACTTCAATACAAATATTACTCAAGTAGGAGTAAAAGTACTTGGAGAAATACAAGTACAGAGTACTTTAAAAATAGTAAAGAGTTTACACAAGAAAATGTACTAGCTACCTCTGCATTCCAGAATATGCTTTTCTATGCTTTAAACTTATACATTTGGCAGGTTTTATATTCAAGTATATTAAATTACCTAAATTAGTCTTGCATTTTACTATCAGATCTCTTTCTGTTTAAAAAAAATACATACAAATACAAATATGGACAGGGTAATGTCTTAAGAACAAAAGGATGCCACTTCTTTTAATGGAAATAACATTTTCAGCCTACAGAGGGTTTAATTTTATAGACACCCTGAAAATCAAAGTGAAATAATGATGTGGCAGGCCAGTCCATTTAGCCAAAATGTAATTGCTGCAACTCAAAATGCTTCTCTATATCTTGTGTGGTCCGTACTTGCTTGTATGCACGTCTGACAACGTTGTGGCATGCTCCTAATGAGACGACAGACAGTGTCATGTGGGATGTCCTTCCATATATGTGTAAGGGCTGAGCTCCTGTAGAGTCTGAGGAGCAACCTGACAGCATCTGATGGACCCAAACATAATGTCCCAGAGGTGCCCATGAGGGCCATTCAATTGTATCAATCCCTTCATCCTCCAGGTACTGCCTGCATACTGTTGCCATGAGGACGGGCATTGTTGTGCATTAGGAGGAACCCAGGAAATACTGCACTAGCGTAGGGTCTGACAATAGGTTCAAGGATTTCATCCTGATACCTAATGGCAGTCATACTGCTATGTTCTAGCCTGTAGAAGTATGTGCATTCTTCCACGGATATGCCTTCCCAGACCATAACTGACTCACCACCAAACTGCTCACGCTAAACAATGTTGCAGGCAGCATAGCGTTTTCCTTGTTTTGTACTGAATTTTTCACATTTATCACAGGTGCTCAGGGTAAACCTACTCTCATCTATGAAAGGTACAGGGCACCAGTGGTAGACATGCTACTTCTTGTGTGGTCTAGCCAGTGCCAACGGAGCTGAGCAGTAAGCACAGGGCCCACTACAGAATGTGGTGCCCTCAAGCTGCCCTCATGAAGACAGTTTCTGATTGGGCAGAGACATTCACACCAGTGGCCTGCTGGAGTTCATGCTGTAGGACACGGGCAGTGCTCAACCTCCTTGGACAAAGGAGCAGATATGGGTCCTGCTGATGGGTTGAGGGCCTTCTACAGCCCTGTCTAGCTCTCCTAGAGTTGCTGCTGAAATCTCCTTGATGCTCTGGAGATTGTGCTGGGAGACACATTAAATCTCCTTAAACATCCGTTCAGAAGTTCCATCCTGAAGAAGTTGGACAATCTGTGTAACTTCTGTAAGGTTAAGAAATGGCCTCATACCCCCAGTAGAGATAATCACAAACCAGCCAAAAAAGACCAAGAGGGAGAAACTTGAAATGTCCACATGCAAAATCAGTCCTATTTTAGGGGTTCTTATTGTTGGCACTCTAGTACACGTGTTATTCATATCCACATCCTTTTGTTCCTAAGATATTGCTCTGTCCATATTTGTATAGATATCCAAAATTAATTTTTCACATTGAGATCTGATGTGTTCCTTTAATTTTTCGAGCAGTTGTAGTTGCAGCAATCTAATTAGCAATTTAATTTTATTGTTAAGCCCTATAAATCACAACATAATTGGCAGCATGTGGACACTGAAAATAACAGAGTGACAAAATCACCCATTTTCATGCATTATTTGTGTGAAAGCATTACCCCGGTTAGAGTAAGCCTTTAGCTGAAAACACTGTGGCTAAGACCATTAACCAGCACCCCACCTGTGTGTAGGTCAACTGTTAGCTGTCAAAAGCAGCAACATGCAAAGAGCTAAGGCAACCATATTAAGACAGATGAGGCTATTTGAAAGGCATCCTCTTAGTTAGTGCATGCAACACAACAGTGACTAGGCCTGTCACAATTATTACTATATCCTTCCTAATTTCAAAGATGTGCCTTTTTTGCAGTAATTGCACTTATTGTTTACTGGGGATTAGGCTCGAAACACTGTATCTGAATTGAAAAACCAAAAAAAAAATATATATATATATATACATTGGGCAAAGTTCTGTCTTTCCTGAAAGGTTTAGAATGATCCTGAGCCATACTAGAACTAGCATGGGATGACATAATAATATTAAAAGAAACGATTATTTTCTGTTGAATTTAAGAGTTATTATTGCGGTATCAAAACTATGCATTAAAGTCAGGACAATACAGGCTGTCGTCATCAGCTAGTCATCTTAGATAACAAACATTAGTATTAGTTGACTAGCAGGACTTTAGCCAACCAAGAATTTCATTAGTCAACTACAGCACTCAGGGATCTACCGAACATAGTATGACAATGCAAACTGTAAAGGGTTGAATTATGAAATATCATGATGCAGTATCATTATTATAAATTAGTCTTCAATATTATCGTTATCAGTATTTATCTTAAACAATGTAACGCACTTTAAAATATGTTTAAAAATGTGACTTGCCCATACTCTCACAGATGCAAATGCACAGAATGGTTACAAGCACAAATGAAATGCAAGAGAAGGATAGATTATCACAAATGAACATGCAACATAGCAAAAAATACTGGTTGTTTCAAACCAAGCTCACCCTTCTGAACAAAAAAGTGAAGAGAGAGGGGAGGAGGGCAAAAGGTTGGCTATGCCCAAATACCCTCCTCATCATCCTATTAGCCATGTGTGTAGCCAATCGCAGCGTTAGGGAGAATATTTTGTTAGTGCAAGTACAGGTTAAGGTTATTTTTTATTAAGACAAAATAGAAATTATTTTTAGATTTGCAATTCCTAATCATATTTAAAAATGCAGATATTATTATAAAAATTTAAAGTTCAAACCTGGTCTGGAGAGGGTTTGTGATTGGTTTGGTCATGGGCAGTTTTTAGATGATCGTCTTCATAGTTGTCTGCCATCAACTTCATTCTGTTCTGGGTCTATGTGATATAGAAAATACAATAAGGACACTCCCAATGATAATCAAAGTAAATGAAATGCAATGCAGTCAAGTCACGCCAGTACCCTCTGTTTTATAATGTGCTGTTGTTTATCTTTGCACTGTGAACAGTATGGACCTTCTTACAGCATGTTCACCTTATTATTTGTGTGGGGTTGGCTGATTTGTGCCAGTTTTTATTTTATGTGAACAGGCACAATAATTAGAGATATTAACCATAAACCATTGTCTCATAAACCCACCCTAGGAGGAGATGTGTCTTGCTTATGGACAAAAATGTCTGTCCACCAATCTTCAGAGAAATGTCTATAGGACCTCAGTTATTCAACAACTTTCTGAATGGTCAGTCCATAAATATACTGGCACCATTTATCTTTGCTAAACTCTCAAATGCTCATGCTACCTGCTGCTTTAACTGTTGCACCAGCCTGTCCTTCTCCCGCTTCAGTAGAGCCACCTCATCCTGGGTCTTCTTCTTCTTGGATGAGGACAACTCCAGCAGTGCAATGTTTGCGTCCTTTTCACTGATAGCAGCCAACAGCGCCTCCTGCCTTTAAGACACACAACAACAATATGGCCTTTTACAACAAAGTAAATAGCTCGATTATCATTTATTATTCATAGTATAAAACTATCCTGCTGACTGCTGGGGTAAGAATAGTTTGACATTTTACAGCCTAAAGGTAGGGATCAATAATGAATCTTACTTCATCTCCAGCACCTCCTCCAGGTGCTTTCTGCGCTCTGCACGGAGGGTTGTGAGATGCGCTTCTTTTTCACACAAGGACTGCTGGGTGGAGGCAAGCTTGGCTCTCATGGACTCCAGCTCTTGTTTGACCTTTTCCATAGCACCCAGCAACTCCTCCATCTGCACAAACACAAAACTGATTTCAAACTTTGAAGGTAAGACTTATGACAAAATAAAGTATAAAGATGCAGGGGTTTGCCTTGCCAATGTCTGCCAAGGAATAAGGAGTATTTGGAGGCAGTGAAGACAATTCATTTTGTGTCCTACAGAAATAAAATTACCTGGCATTTGAATGCAATTTTGAAAAAGCAACTTTGAAATAATAATCTTACTAAGTATTTGTCATGATTCAATTAAAACTAATTTATTTGGGAGCAAGCAAAGACCAGGTAAGAGTGAGAACATAGAAATCATCACAATGGGTGAAGATAACAGCATCACCAGATGGCCATGCACTCTGCTGTGGTGCTGCTGTTATGCTTTTCACCACTGTGAGTGTGACTAATGGAGGTCACATATACTCGTACCTTAGACCACTTAAGGTGGGCGAGGTTGGACTCATGCATTGGTTTGAGTGAATGCTTCTGCGGTGTGTAGCACAAAGAAAACAAGAGAAAGAAAAGTAAAGATAAAAGAACTGAGAAAGGAAAGAAGGTTAAAAGGTAAAGGGGGATGTAAAGAAAAGGATAGAAATACAATCACTGTGCTAGTGTAGCAGAAGAAGTCAATTAATAAAAACTGGTTCTTTAGTACAGCAACATGTTTTAATTCCTGAGATCATTCTTGTTAGTATGCAGGAAGCCTTCTTCTTTTTATGCTGTAATTCAGTGTACCTGTTTCTCCTGGTGAGCCCTGGCAGCCTCCTCTTGTGCTAGAACCATCTCCCGCTCAGCTGTGATTTGAACACTCTCTCTCAGGGCCTCCTCCAGCTCCTCAATGCGCTCAGATTTCTGACGCAAAGTGTCCTACACAATAGCAAAGGGAGAAGAGAGATTTGGTGAATCACAGAGTTGTGCATAATAATAATAACTGTAGGGTGGATCAAAGAGCAGTCCAGCTGAGCTGAGCTTATAGCAGACCTTGACTTGCTGAGAGCTCTCGGACATGTTGTCCTCTCTCTTCCTGGCCTCCTCCATGAGACGAGCGTTTTTACTCTTCTCCACCTGCTCCTTGTGCTTCAGTGAGGCCACTTTCTTTGTCTGGTCCTTCATCTGTCTGCAAAAACACACAAGATGTAGTTCAGAACAATGATTTTCACAAAGCCTTATAAAAACAGTTTAGAATGGGACATTCTTAAATGTAAAAGAACACTCATCTTAGATGGAGATTGGTGTTAAAGCACAAGTCTGTAAACTTTTTTAAAAAACTGTTAAGAGTACTAAAAGAAATAAATGCCTGTTTGCTTTGCTTAATTATTTTGCAATGATATTTCAAATTATAATTGTGATTTTAAGCATATTAAATAAAACTGCTGTGGTTACTCTGGCAGAACATAATATATAACCAGAGTAACACAAACACAAATAAATTGGCAACAAAGGGCATTTATCAGCACATTAATTTTGAAAGGAAAAGTCATAGAAGAACTGAAAGTGAAAGGGTTGTGTTCATTCCAGGTGAGGTCCACATGGATCAGATGAGAAAGGGGTGAGAGTGAGGGGTAAAGAGAGAACTCACTAACCTTGAAGTCATACTGTGAGAATGTCCAAAGAAAGCAATGAAGAGAGAGAAACCCAGGCAGTGAGAAGAAGGTTAAGAACTGTCTCACCAGGTCATAGAGTCAAGGCAATTCAGTGTAAACACATAAAAACATGTCAAATGTATTATCTGTTTCAAATTCAAGAATAATTTAGCATTTCTGAGTGTCAATTTATTAATTGTTCAACCACCTTGTAAAAAAAAATAAAAATCAGGATATCAACAATACACATTTTGCCTGTCCTAGTTTTTGCTTACCTCTCCAACTCGCTGATCTTCTTGTCCTTGTCGTTCTTCTCATTCTCCATCTCCCGGAGGATCTCCAGCAGGCGGTCTACCTCGGCTTGGGCCTTCCCAGAATCCTCTTTGTGGCGAGCGACTTCCTGTTCGAGATTTTTAATGCGCTCAGCCAGCTCTGTGTTAGCCTGAGCCTCCAGGGCAGCTGTCTGGGCCTGTCACATAAATTCCAATTAAGAAGCTGAAAATTGATCTATAAAACACATTAAGGGCGAAATAAGTTAATGAAAAATTATTTAAGAAAATACCCTCTTTAGTTGGCTTTCCAGTTTCAGGCACTCTTCTCTTTTCTGTTCCAAGGAGATTTCTAATGTTTTTAATTTAGAGTCCTTCTTCAGGCCAGAGGAGGCCAGTGATGAAGCATGCTCCTTGAGGTCCAACAGATTAGTCTGCAGATAGTGGACAAACAAAAAAAATCTAAATAAGACTCTGATTCACATTCATATGACTGAATTGAAGATGTTTCTCATTAAGTACCATCTTGGGAAACATTTGGTTGAACAACAAGTGTACAGCAAAGATCAGGTCCAAAACAGATTTACTAGAACTAAGCCAGGTCTCTTAAAAAATAAAGATCTTGGCCCATAAGGCACTACTTGCACAACAGAAAAAAGTAATCCTAGATGGTTAGTACATTCACAATTATCCAAATAAATTGACCCACTAGTGGTGGGTGATCAATTTGAGAACCACTATTCTATAGGATATTAAAAACAGCAAGGAGTAAGTGTGCAGTGACAACACAGGAATTCATCGCTTCAACATACACTGCTACCAGGAAACCACCAAAATACAGGCCTTGGATACAGCTATATAAAGATATAGCAACCCTTTGGTATTTAAACTCACACTTGTTGTTGCTTTGAAAAATCTGTGCCCATATAAAGGTCCAAATTAGTGAAAAGTGGGTAGTAATAATGTTGTGTAGGCAGAATCTATATAAACACAAAATTATCATGCACTTTCTTACCTCTCTATCCGACAGATCGCCTTGTAACAGACTAAACCTCTCCTTGAGCTCCTTCAGTTCTTTTCTGGCACACTCCAGCTCCTCTCCTTTCTCCCGGTCATCGCGATCTCGCTGTTCTTTCAGCCGCTCGATAATGCGCTCCTACAAAAATACACGTGCACATTTTTAGATATCCAATTACAATAACAATTTGGGCCATTAGCTCACAGCGTAGCTCACCTTTTCAGCCAGAGACTCCTCCAGTGTGGTCAGTGCCGTGTCAGTGTTAGAAGTGTCTGCTTGTAAAGACTTGACTCTCTCTTTGAGGCTGCTCATCTGTTTCTCTTTGTCTCTAAGCTGCTCCTGTAGGTTCTCAATCTGAAAAATTATATTATATGGTTATTACATGATATATATAGGGCAATTTTGTTAGTATGAGTTATGGAGTGATTCTCATTATAGATATTACAAGAATTTTACAGTCTCAGTATCAAGCTAATGTCATGATACAATAAATTCAAACTGGGTTTTTGTACTCGATAGCAATTTTCGATACAACAATGATAAAGGCAAAACAAATGCGGCACAACAAAATGTAATTTACAGACAAAAAAATAATTAACAATCTGGATTAGGAGCTGGATTTCCCTATTGATTACATTGTACTATTGTACTATTTAAATGTGATTGTGATGTCATCTGAAACCTAGCAATACTTTAATTTAATATTGCTTTGTTGTCTTTTACTAGTTCTGATAAAGAGCAAGCTCATTCTAAACTACTTAGAAAAGGTCACATTTTGTCCTCAGGCTTACACTACTTATTTTATATCTTCTCTAATAATAATTTCAAAACACTTAAAACCCTTCCCCAGTACAGTACAGTAGAGTAGTCACCTTTTTCTGCAGAACAACAATTTTGCGCTCCTTAACCTCCAGCATATCCTTGAGGTCATGAATCTCCCCATTGAGAGTGCCCTTCTCTTCAGACATTTCTTGGATCTGTTTGCTTTTCTTATTCAGTGTTGCTTCCTTTTCTTCTAAACGCAAGCGCAGTGCATCAACCTAGACAGGAGTACATAAATTTACATTTTAAGAGATTTTTTAAATTTCTGATATAGAATAGCTCAAATGTGTTACTTCTGTCTGTAAGATGGCAGCTCGTTGTTCCTTTGCTGTTAGGGACTCCTTTAGGACTTCGATGTGTTGCTTGCTATCAGAGAACTGGTTCGTTAAAGTCTCCAGCTTGGTTTGCAGACCTAGTAGCTCAGTGTCTTTCCTGGAGAGGTCTTGCTTCACCTGCTCCATCTAACAAATTAACATGACAAATTTAAGTATTAAAATATGCTAGCCAATTATGAAAGCAACCAAGGGAATGTTAATTATAAAACCAATGTGGTGGGTAACCTTGTTTTTCATGAACTTCGTGTGGCTACGGTAGACCTCCATTTGTTTCATCTCTTCTTGGCGTTCTTCACAACTCAAGAGTCCATTGGATTTTAGCATTAGGAGCTCCTCTTCCATGTCTCGCAAGCTTCTCTCCATTGAACTGATTTTGGCATCCTGGATTCAAAAAGGTTTAATTATTAACGATAACCTAAATGAAGTGTTTTCAATAAACTTTTTTCACCTTCATGTCAATAACAGTTTGTAGAGCTTTGGTTTTTGTGGACTCGGGGGTTCCCTCATACCTGCGGTGCAACTCCTGATTCAAAAGTCAAACAACAAATGTAAAAAAAAAAAAGAAGAAATACATAGAATCCTACCATCTCTAATACTAATGTGAACCAACTTCTCTCAAGGATGAAATCTCTCTGTCTCGTTGATCCAGTAAGCTCTCTAGATGATGTCTGTGCATCTCTGCGTCAGCTAGTCTCCTGGTGCGCTCCTGGTCCTCCTCTGATGCCTTGGCAGATGGTCCTGAAACAGAAGGAAGGAGGATGTGGATCAAGAAACAAGCACCGGTGTTATGAGCCCTAAAGATGGGCATATAACTTAACATAATGAACATATGTATATTGTTATCAGAATACTTACAGAGCCCACACCACAAACAAGAAATTGAGTAGTTAAGTTTGGCTACAACATTACAAGTTATTGTGTGTAATCAATGCCATCTTTGACAAAATAATACACTAGTATATCTACAACTAATTCACTAAAAAGGAAATTATGAATGTCCTGATATCCCAAATTCTATACCTTTGCTCTGTAGCATCTCTAGCAGTTTCTTGATGGATTCGTCTCTTGCTCCCAGCGTTTGCTTCTGTGTGTCGATCCTCAACTCCATTTCCTCCAGGGTCTTCCGGAGCAGAAACAACTCTTTGGCTTGCCTCTCATGCTCAGCGTGCAGTCTTCGGTAGTTCTCCTCCGTGGGTTCAGATGTTAGGGCCAGGTCTCGGCCTTGGCTGGCTGGGTCCTGTTGGAGCAGCTGGTTCAAATCCCTCTGGATCCTCAGCTCGTCCTGAAGAGCCTGGACAGTCATCTGGAGGTGCTACAGACATTACAAAGATAAAGCTTTAAGACGCACATCAATCAATAACACTGTGAAAAGGAAGATTTATCCACCAAATGTACCACATGCAATACAGTATATAAATAGCATAATTAGTTAATGTCAATGAGTCTTAAAAATTTAATATTTGCCCCTGAACAGCTCATATCTGATTGTATTACAAAAGAGATTACACAAGATAAACATTGAGCCACAAAAATTTGTTGTGTTCCTAGTAATTATTTTGACAGGACTACTGACATTTTATTGGATAATATTTTTGGAGTAGGCAAAATGAGAAGGCTCAAGCACAGAGGAATGCTCATGCCCATACAACATTATGTATACATCAGATCTACTGTAAAGCGTGCCTGTGAGTGTGTGACAATGATGTACTGATGATTTATTACTTATTACAAATGTAAGAATCAACAGTCCATTGAGTCCTGTGATTGATATTCAGAGAAAAGACACACAGACCAACACAGTCAATGGCTAGTGTTACATTTCGTGCCCAGAGATACAAGTTGTGAAACACAATCGGCCCAGTGTAGTATTGCATTGTTCGTGGCATCTGACGCCATGAACACTTGGCAGTGTCCTGAGCGGCTGTAACCTAGTGGATTGTTACTCTGGTCTGCGTCTGCAAGGGTTTTCATAAGGCAGAACAAAGACACAAGTCAGAGACAGTTTTCCTCCAGCCCCCTCCTGTTTGCTCCTTTGTCACTTTTCCCTGCATACTCCTCACAAAAGATTCATCAAGCTTGCTCATGCTTGTCCTCTTCTCTCACCAATACTCTCACCTCGAATGGCACTCTCCATCACCTTTCCTCTTTCCTCCCCGTGATAAAGGCTGACTCATGGCTGGGACTGTGCCTCTCTGTGCCCTGGCTCTGTACAGGCACATGCACACTTGTATCCAAAAACACACGCATTCTCACTTCTCAGTTCCTCATACTCTCACTTCTCATGTTTGAGCAGGCCAGATGACAATCATGCATTTCAGTGAGCAGAGAAGGGCAGAGTTTACTTAACTTACTTGATGTTCTATAGAAAGTAGTATTCATCTTATAAATAGCAGCATATATGCAAAAGAAAAATATTTTTTATAATACACAGTGCTATGCCCAGGACTGTCAAAAAAGATGACTTGTTTATAGTTGACTGGAATAGATTTCCTTCATATGGCATCACAATATTCTAGAATCCCTATTATTATTATATATTATTATTATTATAGTCTGAAATTGAGCTGGAGGGCAGGTGAAAATTCTAGAACAGAATCTGCTGTTTAACTGCCAGATTGCAAAATGTTTTGACCTTGTTTATGATTAACAACTCTGTTTTTTTCTAAGCCTATCCACGTGAAACTAGCAAACCAGAAACACAGCCTTCTGAAACCCATGGATATGCCCCTGCGCTCTATTTGAAATGATGACATTGCCAAATTCTATAACATGCCACAACTTATTCCTTAACAAAAATAATTCAATTTACTATTTAACAGGACATTGTAAACATGCTTTCTAATGAATCAGGAAGAATCAATGATAAGAGTTTTTTGCTGCAGACCACTCATTTACATTAAAATCACTAGTATACAGAGTAATAAAACCACAAACTCAATTGTAGTTGTATCTCCATCGACTAAGGGCATGTCTTTAGGCTAAGGCAGCAATTAGCCAAATGTGTGTGTTTGTTTTAGCAGGGCTCCCTTTTACATGTGTGTTGCATGGGAGGAGGCGGAGGATGCTGGTAGATAACAGGCGACATCTTTAAATTACAGTTTCCCCTGATTAGCTTAACTGGGCATAACTCCATGGTGTGATTCTGTGACTCGACACAAGTGAAAACACAAATTATACAGTTCTGCCCCCTCATTTAAAACAGTTAAGAGAGAAACAACTGCTAGACAGCACATACATAGTCACACATGAACAGCTAACTCTGTACTACAACCAAAATACTATTTAACTGGGTAATGGTGACATACAAATTATGCATAGTATAATTTTCTTTTATGATGTTACGGGGAGACTCTTGTTGGAGATGTACTTCAGCCTAGTATAGCATCTCATTTTTTTTCCTTCCTGTAGCCCACACTGAAATGAAGTGTAAGATCACCCCAGCCTTATTTCACTATATTATAGTAAGTTTGGAGTCACATCAAATGTGTCAAGTCTTACCTGTGCTTCCTCTTGAATAACACGATATTGTTCCTTCCATACTGAAATCTTGGAAGCCTCATCTTTTCTTAGGGCCCGCTCCTTTTTTAATTCTGGACTCCAGAAGGTTTTAATTGAATTCATGGATGAGCTAAGCTTGCTCTCTTTGACCTCAACCTCTCGTCGTAACAGGTCATTCTCACGAAGAACCTGAGAGGAGAAGTGAGAAGAAGGTTGTTGTCATATTCTCGTAAAGATTGCCATTCAGCAAAGTGAGGAGAAAAAGAAATGGCGATATACCTCTTTAAGCTGAGCTTGTAGGTCCAGTATGGTGTTGTCTCTGGCTTGCCTTAGAGAATGGGGCACAGTAGAGGCCATGTGGTGGTCCCCAAACGCCAGAGCATCACCTCCCATCATCCCAGCTGGCAGCACAGCATTAGCAGGCACTGTGGTGGAAATGTTAGGAGTACTTGCAGCCACACCACCACTACCGCTACTCCTGGCACCATACGTCACCCTTGGCCGTCCTATAGTGGTTATTGTGCTTCCACTCTTTGGAAGATGGTCTCCTGCCATGGCCACTTCATTGTCACTCAGATACATAGGACCAGAGGTAGCATATGCAGCATTGAGGGACTGAATATTCTCCATGGAGAGTGTCTTTCCACCGGCTCCACCAGGTCCTCCTCCACTTCCTCCAGTACTGTTTGTGCGCCTGTGTCCCATACGAGGGGATCGTGGGAGGCGTGGGGACCGGCCTGAGGCCTGACCTGTACTACCTCCGTCTCTTCCTCCACTGTGGTTAGCATCTGCCCTGCCAACAGAGCGAGCACTGCCGTACATGTTTGAGAAGTTTGTGTATGGGGCAAGACTAGTAGATGTTTTGTCTTATTTGATTAAACTTGACAGATATGCAAAGGGACTTTTGGCACTACTTTCATGACAAAAAATACCAGTATTCCTAATCCAGTAAGCGTAATTATTTCCTTCCGATCTGCAATAAAACAAAGACATTCAATTATAATTTAGACTATTCAGCATAGTACATTTTTTGTGCAAATGCTTCATGCTACCCCTTTATGTAAAATTATGCAAATGAAAAACAAAAGTATGTCATCGGGGATGAGGACAATGTCTTTTCAGTCACAAGTTTTAAGTGTTTCATTGTGGAGATGGTCTGGTGTTCCTGTCATTTAAATTGTCTGCGTGGCTATGCTAGCAGCTAACCTGACCCGGTATTCTTGCAAAATGCAGCAAGAATAAGAATCGATTTAATTATATTTTATCTCATTAGTAACAAGTTCACATTTGTGACAGAGTATGACCTGAAGTGTGACAAATTTACTAAATCCTATATGATTTTCCCGGGTGCTGTCGGTAGCATGGGAGGGGTAAAGAGGGGATAGTTCATGGCAAAGCTGGGAAAAAATATCCCGATTTGTAAAATTCACTACATCCAGTGATCACGGCAAATGCACTAAAATTGTGAACCCCTTCACAGTGACACAGTTTATACATAGAAAAGTGAAACCATTGACAAAAAGAAGACTCATGTCTCTTTCGCCGTAGTTGTTTTAGAGACACCCATATCAAACCGTATCATTTTTCTTCTGTAGGTAACGGAGACTCGTTTTCAGCTGAGCTTTTCTGCAACTAGCATTAGGCCTTGAGGCTTATAAAGCGCCCGAAGAACACAGCAGATGTCCAGTAATGCATCAAATCACTAGTATAGCATTAGCTCACCACAATTTATAGAGGAGAGTCCATCCGATTTACGTAGTCAAGTCGAGCCTCTATTTTTTCTCGCTAACACAATAGCGAATGAAGAAAATCCGTTCACATAAACTAGCTGAACGATAACTTCTTCGTGCTCCGAAATGAGCCAAAATTGGTTCCCCTGGTCAGGTAAAAATATGTTGCAGTTATTCTCATTTTCGCTTAGATAATTGAGGGTGGGCACCAGTTTTTCTCATCGTTTTGCAGTAGCGATAGTGGCCCAGAGGAGAGCCAGGCGCCTCAGTGACGTCAAGACTCATTTTGCACGTTCACGCTGATCGCCAGTGGTCGCCACGCTTACCATGCGCGCTCACGAGAGGGCTCTTTTCTGAATGTATATCACCCATGGATCTATACCACCTGAAAATGGTATGTGGCAGTATAATTTATGGTTAAAAGGAAATGGTTAGGATTGGGCCTGGTTGTGAGATTAGGTTAAAAGGCCTGGATGAGAGTTATGAACTTTAAAATCTAGCCTAGTATCAAAACTGTTCTGTTTAGCTGTTCATTTCACTGGAAGGGTTTTTATTCTTTACTCTATTATCTGTACTATATCAAACTTTTTTGAATTACTCTGTTACAAATTGTGCTATAATATAAACTTACCTTGTTTGCCTAAAGCACTACTGAATTTTTTAAAGAAATGTGTGAAAATATAGCTGTGGGAACATAGGCAGGCTTACACTGCCCCAAGATTTGTGGCATTATTGGAGAAAGTAGTAGGACCAAAGTGTAACTCACATACTGAAAGATATGCATGACAAACTGCTGCCGCCAGTCGGCACTGTTGACCGTAAAACGTATTTTCCCAAACCCTGTTTCAATAAGGCATACTGAAGCTGCGCACAATTCGACTCAGACTTCGTTAGGTTCCAAGATGTTTAAAAATAGGTCTAATAAATAAAATCTGAGCAAATCTGAACTCATTAGTTCAGAACATTAGTACAGATCACCTCACCTCAATATCAATCATCTAATAATTATTGAACAAATGAATTAACTTTATAATTTAGGATAAAATCCCTATTTCGAACTTTTTCACGAGCTGTTTACCATTGGGTCTATTATAATTTTCTAATTAGTTTGCAATTATATTTGTCAAAAAGTCAGCAATATAACAATATAAATAGAATGTTAGATTGTACATAAATATATAATTACGATAAAAAAAATAAAAAATAATAATTGAAATCCCTGGATACATTTGTACATTGGTGTGCTGAATGTTGGTAGCATTTATATACAGTGTGTGGTTGGTAGGCAGTGCTGCTGAGTGGCTGTTATGAGGTCACTGTTCATTGGCGCAGGCGCCTTCAGGAATAGTTGTTTCTTCGTCAATATGTAGCAACTGCACCGCGGTCCACAAATCATAACTGTCTGTAATATTAAGTCATCAGGAGGAAACCAATTTCGGAACCTTTGTGGATTTTATTTTGAACTGTAACCTGGTTTATATATTCAACGACGAAGTAACGCTAAGGACTATTCGTCAGTGACAGCTGTGTTGTGAACGCTGGTTGAGGTAGGTCAGGAGCTGTTATCGCCCACCGGCAACATCTACGTTATTTCAGCTAGCACAATGCTAACAAATGCGAATAACAGCTAACGTTAACTGCCGACGAACACAAATAATGTAAAATGTTGCTGTGAAATACGAAAGATATTTTGTATTTTTATTTTGCTCGTGTTCTAAATGTACAAACTATAGGTTAGTACTGAACGATATAATGCGAATTTTAGTCGTGGGCTGAAGGTGGGTCTCGATTTAGGCCAGAGACCCGCCTATCGCTAACTGCTAACGCTACCAGCTAATATTAGGAAAGCTAACCTAGTTGTTACCACGGTCGATGGCCCTCCTGCTGTCGTTATGTCTAATCAATATGGGCTTTAGCAGGGTGCATTCACCATTGAGAAAGGAAATGGACTTCCATAGTGTAAATGCACCTCAAGTGAACAGCTCTTTAAAATCGGTAGAGTTAATGTTACACAGGAATTTCAGTGATGAAAGTGAACGCGAGGCTGTTTGATTGCCTACATTGCTATCATCTGAAGGGTTAAGCCTGCGGAGCCTTCTGGAGAGCTAACCTAGCTGTGTTAGCTGTATTTTAGCAGTGCATGTTAACATGCTAACAAAGAGCCGTCGCTCCTCCTCGCATTGTATTTGGCCGATGTTGCCATTATTCAGGTGGCTGTAGAGTCGTATTAAAACGGCGAAGAAATGGTAAGACGAGAACGTTATTCGCAATAATAATGGCAGCTATTGCGTGCTAATATTGACTAAGTGTACTGGCACGCATTTGTGCTACTTTTATATCAGGTCAGTGGTCATGCACTTTATGACTTCTGCCTTGACAGTAACTACTGAATAAACTCGTGGATTAACGACACGGGCTTTTGACAGCTGCAATCATGATTATCACAAACAGCCGCGTTTTATGGGCATGTGGTTATGATTATTAGCAGGACACTTAAAAGTTCTGTTTAATAGTATCACCCGTGACTCTTATTGCATTCATAGTCGATGCTTTATTGAGTTTTTTTTTTTTTTTTTTTTTTGTAGTACAGTAATTTCAAACAGGAATTGGCAATGCGTAACTGATGGAATTGGCGATATGGAAATATTATATAACACACTTGTGATCGACTCTGTTAAAGTTTTACAAACTGCATGTAAAGGACATTTTAGCAACTCTCTCACAAACGTTGATAATTGACATATTAATTTTAATAGCCTACATCCTCATCCTACTTTCTTGTTTTTCAGTTGATCTGGACCAGAGGATATTTGGGTTCTTCTGGGGAAGTTTTTAAGCTTTGTCTTTCACCAGTGATTCCTTATGCTGAAAACACCTGCAGCCTTTGCTTTACAAGATGGAAGAAAATGATTTAAAAAGACTTGCTCATCAACCTCTGCTGCACTGTGGTTTGTACAACAGTGTTCAGTCCTCAAATTACAAAAGAACACCACCTATTCTGCATATTGTCAACTTGCAGTGCAAATCTAAAAACTATAAGCAATAAAAACTGTTAAAGGCAGAAGAAGTTTGGAAGCTCCATTTTATCACCAAGATCTCAACTGCAAAACAGCATACTGTAAACATGGAAATATATTTCTTTTAAGTTGTCCTTCATTATTCTTAATTTTGGCGTGTGTGGTGTGATGTCGGAAAAGCCTGGAGACAAAATGGTGAAGTTTTTGGCTCCCCCTCAAAAGAGTGGAAACGGCCCCAGCTCTGGCTCTGACTCGATGGTGGGTGAATCCAGACCGACAGAAGTGAGACGCCGGCACCACACCATGGAGCGGGATCGGTGCAACCCTGAACACCGATTTCTCCGTCGCAGCGTCATCAGCGACTCAAATGCCACTGCACTGGCCCTGCCTCTGCCCAGCAAGATCCCCATCGCAGCACCTCAGAGAGTCCAGGCACGGGAAGACACCCCCCAGAGGAAGAAGATCCCAAGTGGCCACTTGTCTAAATGTGAACCTACGTTATCACAAAACCAAAACTCTACAGATGATAGCAAAAGTGAAGACGTCAATAGGGTTGTAGAAATATCTAAGGTAGAAGTGGCACCTTTACAAGAAGGACCTGTAAATATCAAAAACATCTGTGATGGAGAGGAAGTGATTACAGTGCAGTCCCCACCATGCATAGGAACAGAACTGTCCAGTCAACCAGAAGCTGAAGGCACTGCAGAGGTCAAAGCTCAAAATGAAGAGGAGGCCGATGAAGAAAATAAGGACTCTGCTAAGGCCCGAGCAGAGGCAGAGCAGAGAGAAGCGGAGAAGAAAGTTCAAGAAGATATTGAGGAAGCAGAGACCAAAGCAGTGGGAACGTCACCTGATGGCAGGTTCCTCAAGTTTGACATAGAGATTGGACGTGGCTCCTTCAAGACTGTCTACAAGGGCCTGGACACAGAGACCACGGTGGAAGTGGCCTGGTGTGAATTGCAGGTATGACACTAACAATTATTTCTTAGTAGTTTCAACATCATTGACACTACATTTATTTCTCATTCAAATATAAATGATTGAAATAGCAGCCTGATGCGTTGTTTTGGGTCCCATAGTTGACACACATCCGATTTAGGCCACGTGGAACAGTGCCAAAGTCACTTCCGTTCACACTGTTAAAAAGGCCACAGCTCATTTCCTTCTTGAACCACATGACCCGTGCTTCCTTTTTAATTATTGTATAAAATATTGAATATTGTCCTATTTAGACTGTAGATGTAGTTTCCAGCCAATTATGTTTATGACATGTAAATAGGTTATCACATAAATTCCTCTGTATACATATACCCTATGTTATTTTTAAACTTTAACAGGTTGAACTCTTGCAATCTTGCTATTGAAATATACCACACTGACTTTTATGAGTAGATTTTCAGGTTTTGCTGCTACATCAAACTTGCCAAGTAAATCATTCTTTTTACAATGACTGCAGTTCTGCTGTCAGTCCTTACTGTTTAAGTGAATGTTTGTATGTGTTCAAATGTTTGCTTATACCTTTATCCTATCATCAAATGCCATAGGGTCTCACGGCAACATATAAGCCTCAGCTATACGCACTCACTGAACAATGTGAAGATTATAGACACGTGCCCCTCCCCCTCCTCAGTCACTGCGCGCATGCTCAGAGCATTCCTGCTCTAAATGCTTGTGAATGTAAAATGGGTCACATTCCTCATGAAGAATCTCCTGTGTGGAGCAGCGGGCTGCCTGCCAAGGCCTGCTCCAAAACCCTTCCACCCTGAGCCTGGTATTTCCCCCACACACTTTTAAAAAAAATCATCCAATTGTTCAGTATTGTTCATTATTTAGATTTTTTAGCAAATGATTTCTCTAAACTAGAGAGGGATCTATAGGGTCTGACATTTATTGTTTTTTTATGTTTGCTACTGGCCTTAAAACGGGTTGTTGGCCCAGTTTTTTTTAGGCCAATATCCCGAATGCATGGAATTGGCACCGGCCACAATAAAAAAAACTTATTTGGACAAAATCAAAATATCAAAATAATGATGTTAAAGACTGAACATAAGATTTGAGAGGCTGACAGCTGCTGAGCTCTTTCAACTGCTGTTTTCCTTTTTGAGAACATCACTATGGGCCCAGTCTGTGGTTCTCTGTGCTGCATCTGATGTGGTATTAAAGAAACTGTATGTAATAAAGATTTGAGTTTTAAATTTCATAAACCTGACCTATCTGTGTCCCCAGATAAGAGATGTTCAAATCAAATCTGAATATGAATTCTGAAATCTGAATAAAATCTGAAATTTCTGATATCAATTATGAAACACTATTGGTTTCATACTAAAAGGAATCAGTGATCTGAATCGTCACTACCCTCACGACAACACCTGTAGCCAATCATGAGTCAGTGCTAGTGCAGCCTCTGCAGCTCAGTGAGAGAATTCAGAAGGTTCTGAACTTTCACATGACACATGGCCATATAGAATGAGAAGAAAAATGTAATGTCTTCTATATGCAGGCTTAAACACTCGCAACCCAGGTTCAGTTGCGGGTTGAGTTTTTTGGGGCTTGTTCCTGAGCAGCTCTTTCTCATTATAAGAGATGTGTTTTAGCTTTTTTTTTCAGGTCTGTTTCATGATATTAGACCCAGTCAGGATTGAATTACAGGCTGTTAACAACTGATTTACATTTTAAAGCAGTTTTTGCTCATTATTACTTTTTTTAATAGTAACACACCATGTTTAACTTACTGCATATATATTTTTGTTTATTTATTCATTTGACAGGGACAGTGTACATTAATGCACATTTCTGTAACTAGATTTAGCCACAAGACTCGGACAAGCAGTAGGAGGCCTTCCTCAAGGCCAAATAAGAGTCAAGTTGTGGAGATGTAAGCCCATTTTTCATTACAGTAAACAACCAATATGAGAAAAAAGTGAGTGGCCATCTGAACAAGTCTAAATAGTTTGTGAATCTAGCTAGTAAAAAGGTTCTTTCTTCTCCTTAGTTATACTGCAATATAATTGTAATTGTTTGATTGTACAAATGCCGTTAACTTAAACACTAGAAAGTTGTGGTCTTTGATTTCGATGCTATAGTTGTCTGGAAATTTGATCCACATTCTTGTGAGGGCCAAATGTTGGGACAATCCCCTCAGTTGCTGTGTGATGAGGGCCTATGTGTTGAAGTCATGGACAGTCAGATGCTGTATCACTAACATTTATAACCCCACTGTGTAAAGTTTGGACAAAATGAAGCACACGCCTGGAAAGCCATCTGTCCAGAGCCATTGTCTAAGTATTTTAAGGAGTCCACCCATTTCACCCACCAGTGAACCTCCACATTTCTTGCAGTGCTCATGTTTCAGGCATGTTTGAACAATAACTGGGTCAGCGCACAGGAAGTTCAGAAAGAAATATATTCAGGAACCTCCCCTTTTTGCTTACTCATTTATCTTCTGGCTAGTCATCTCCTACACAGTGCCTGCTTTTTCTCCTTTTTAAATGGAGCCAGTTGTTGAAAGTGTCTGTGACTTATACTTAACTAACCATATGAACTAAGCGTTTGGTTCAATTGTCTGAGCATTATATTTAGCTAACAGCACTCAGTAGACTAGAAGAAATGCAACCACTCAGCTTTATACTGTTAAGAGCCTCCGGCTGTTTCTATGGACAGGTCATGACCCCTTAGACTTTGACGCTTCAAAGTTGCTGACCTACATCTTCAACTTAACATTGGGAGTTTAATTTCTAACTTATTTTTGGTTTGTGTCCAATCCCCATGCTTAATATAATTACACAGCAGAACACAAGGGAAATCTGAAATCACATTATAAAGCTTAGAAAGCCAACTCTTTGCATTTTAATAGTATAGTTTTGAGCATTTGAGCTTCCTTGTCAGCAGTTACAGAAGACTTTAGGCAGAAATTGTGTCAGTCTTGATCTATAATCTCAGAGTGGCTGTACCACTCGCTTTTGCCTATTTTTAGATGTATTCTTTTATGTACGTTTTTTTCTGTAGTTTGTTGATGTGAGGTGTACAGTGGCCTAAGCTGATTGCAAATCTAATCTAGAGGATTTATTTTCAAAAATCAAGAGAGATTTAGATACATGGTTTATGAGCTCTGTTTTATGAACCGTATTCAAAGCAGTCATTCCCAAAAAGATGGTGTGAGTCATGGCCCTGCTGTCACACAGACTGGGTGATTCATCTGCAGCTGCTCTGGCCTCTCATTGGCTGACTGAGCTTTCAGGAGAAAAAAAAAACACATTGAGTTTATAATCAGATGACCGGAGCAGATGCTACTTTACTGCCCATGATTTCCCTCGTTTAGCCTAAGATTCAACACTACATTTCTGTTAAAAATAATAACAGGGTTCTCTGCAACACATTTTATCTGTGTTCCTGGTCATTAGTGTGTGATGTATGACACATACAAAGCCATTGTTTATTTTTTCTGACAAGACTGAAGTGGTATGAGCTTAAGGAAGTACTCTACGATCAGAACTATAAATCTGTAGTGTACTTGAATTGGTTTTCAGAATAGATGTCCTGAAAGCAAATGGTGTTAGCAACCACCCATCAAATAAAGTTCTGTAACATATGCCATTATGAACTTTCTGATGAACATTCATTTATGAACTGACTGTGAGCTTTCTTCATTGTCATACTAGACTTTGGGTCGGATGTATTGCACATGCTGCACAGATTCTGATGCTGTGGCTTCTTTGGATGTCATGGATGTTTTACATGACTGTTTTCACATGTGCAGAGTGCTAGGGGAAAAAACACTCTATACAGCTTCCCTAGAAGTAGGTCAGTTCCTACTACTATTTGCAAATGTCTCTGTAAAGTACATCACCAATGTATATCTTAAAGGATCATATGATGTCATATTGTTGGTCTCAATTATTAAATTAAATGATTAATTATTTAAAAGGAAGCATAATGTGTTTAAAAAGGGGGGACAATCTCTTCTAGACCCTTTTCTGACCTGCAGTGGTTGTTTTTAGTGAATGTCTTCATACGTACTCAGACCATAACTAACCTACACACTGTAAATGAATGTCGAGAGAATTTAAACTTAGTGTGGTTTAGCATCATTCACAATGATCCTATAGACCCAGTATATCAATTTCTATTAAGTGTATAAACATATGGTTTTCTTATACGTGTCTTTCTAGGATCGCAAGCTCTCCAAAACTGAGCGGCAGCGCTTTAAAGAAGAAGCTGGGATGTTAAAGGGATTGCAACATCCCAACATTGTTCGTTTTTATGACTCCTGGGAAGGGCCCTCCAAAGGAAAGAAGTGCATTGTACTGGTCACTGAACTCATGACATCGGGCACATTAAAAACGTAAGTCCCAAACCAAGCACATGTAGAAAAAATGAAATCCACTTTTTTAAAAAATGGTTGCTTGTGTGCTTGTAGATACCTGAAGCGCTTTAAAGTGATGAAGATTAAAGTGCTGCGCAGCTGGTGCAGACAAATCCTCAAGGGCCTTCACTTTCTACACACTCGGGCTCCACCCATCATCCACAGGGATCTCAAGTGTGACAACATTTTCATCACTGGCCCAACTGGATCTGTCAAGATTGGCGACCTGGGGCTGGCCACACTCAAGAGGGCATCCTTTGCCAAAAGTGTTATAGGTATGACCTGAACCCAGTAGACCTTTGAAATTTGAGCTTTGAAATTCTCTTGGGAAATGTTTTATTATGGATTTAGAAGATGTATTTATATGGTTAAAAACAGACCACTGTGTTTCAGCTCTCCCACAAACCACAGCTACAACGAAGACCAAATTTACCTGTGATATTTCCTCCTTTTACACACCAAACACTATCAAGTCATTCACTGGCACTAGGTAGTACCAAGTGTTTGTCTTAGTAGCTCTTGTCACTACTTTTGCAGGCAAGCCTAGCCAAGGTATGGCCCTCTGCATTTGTTAGAGTGGTCTTTGTCCTGTGGTTTGGAAATATGTGGTCTGTTTGCAAGTTCTATCCATAATGTTTAACATGTGTCTCTATGGGTTTGCTTCAACAGGAGTTTGTTTGGCTTTTATTCTTGTTTGAAATATTGCAGGACTGGAGTTTTGTGCTTAAGAGCTTTGTTTCCTGAGAGGAATTGCACATTCTCTGTTCCTCCTTTTTATTTTCACTTGTTTTTGGGTATTTTCTAAAACATAGGCTGTAGCTTCAGCTGTGCCCCATTCTGCTGTTTGGAATTAATAGGGTACTGCTGTTCAGTGTGTAAGTATGAGCTTTTGAGAGCCTGGTAAGTTTCAACGTGTGCTGTACAACACATCAATATAAACACATTGAGAAAACCCAGTTTTTCTGTGTAAGACCTACTTTTGAACTCCCAACACTGAGCACTCATTGATGGCTCTAGATGTGATGTGCAGAGACACACTGCTGAACACATAACTAGCTATGGGATCAGCTTCATTTGTTCTCATCATACTCTTCCTTTAGGTCAAGAGGACAAGGTAAGTTGGTCACCACCAGGTGAGTGATTTTAAAGGTTTAAGAAAGTTATTTCCATAGCTAGTCTGGGTTAAGTCACAGTGTTGTCCTAACGAACAACTCAATCTGTGGATTGTAAAAATGGAAATCCAAACAGAAGTGTGTCCTTCACATTGCCTATCACAGACTGTTTGATTAATGACATGATTTGGTCTTACACAGACAAACAAGTGCCTTCTTATTTGCAGATTAACTGAGTCCAGATTCTTCCTCCTCTTTTGTTTTCTCCTTTTTGCTTTCTTTTCCCCTATCTGTTTCTTCTCTTTCTCTTTTCCAACTTTCACCTCACAGGTTCTGCTCCAGAAGATGGCATCAGACTGCTCAATCATCTCATCCGCCTCTTCCTCAACCCCCAGAGGGGTTAGAGGTGCAGAGAGGCAATGGGCTGAGAGAAGTCCTGTCAGTCAGTAAGGAGTTCTGAATAGTTGTTTTGATTTAAGGTACCCCAGAGTTCATGGCTCCTGAGATGTATGAGGAGAAGTACGACGAGTCAGTGGATGTGTATGCCTTTGGAATGTGCATGCTGGAGATGGCCACCTCCGAGTACCCGTACTCAGAGTGCCAGAACGCTGCACAGATCTACCGCAGAGTAACCAGTGTAAGTTCTCCCTCTGTGTACATGTGCCACTCTTCTGCTGCCTCCATCTCCTCTGTTTAGACCACAGCTATATGGTCATGGGGTTACATCAGCATATGGTTTTAACTGCAACATTATCTATTTCAAACATTTCTTTTCTCAAGCACCGATGGCCCACAGAAATATGAACTTGTATATCTTTTTTAGGTAGCATGTTTAGGCCCGTCATGATTAACAACATTAATTGAGTCATTATTTAATGAAAGTTAGAGGGAGCAAACATTTTTAGAGGTCAAATTTATCATACATACTTTTTTGTACCATTCGGTTGTTCTGTACAACGATACATCATAGACAGATACTATAGATATAGAAGCGAGTACTAAAGGGTTTGATTTTGTTATTTATTACAGGTCATGTTTTTGATATTCATGATACATTTGTAGTATTTTTTTTTTAAATAATCTTACAGGTTATTGAATCTTCAGCACAGATTGGGTATGAATTTTCTTCAACAGTATATCGTACTTCGTTATGGTGACAGGCATAAACATGTTTTGACTGTACATGTTGTGAACATGTAGTGATTTAACAAAGTTAAATCAAAATTAACAAAGCAGCAGTGCAACATGTGTGTCTCACAATACATTGTGAATACAAAAATATGAATCATAAGACTGATGAGGCTTATTTATGTACTGTACATAATGTAGGCAAACTTGTCCATGATGTCTTATCTTAAAGGCCTTGATATCTGTACTAACCACCTGTTGATGATTTACAGTAAAGCTGCTGTATATAGGAGCCTGAAATCCTCATCCTTTTCTATTTAAAGAGCCCATGTTAAGCAATTTTTTTCTGTTATGTTGTTTCCTCCTCACAAACATACCTGGAGTTGTTTTGTTTTATTCACACATGTTTAACTCACAAACCCTGCATATTTAAGACGGAGTTCTTCTCTCAAACTGTAAATACCTTGTGATGTCACATGGTAATGCAGGAAGTGCTCCACTCTGCTTTTTAAAATCCATACACCTTCACTAGAAACATGAATAATTTCAGCCCTGGAATTGCCGGTCTCTACTGAACTGAAGGTAAAAGGAGCTGTTAACTTAAAAACTTCCACTATATGACATCACAAGGTATAATAGAGCATTTTGAGTTTTGGAAATGTAGACAGACTAATAATAAAGAGTTACTCAGGCTTGTGTGAATGAAAGAAAACAACTCCAGCTATGTTTTTGATGAGGTAACAACTTTCTAACATTGCTCAAAGCTCACAAGATTGTCAATTTTGTCTAATAGAGGACTTCAGTTAAGGGTTTTATTTTCATAATGCAATCAAGCCTAATTTGTACAGCACTTTACTACAACAGCAACTGAACCAAAGTGATTTCTATTAATGCAGTAGAGGATCTAAAAATGAGTTGGTCCTCTTGAAAACAATGAAAAATATAGTAATTACAGTGCCATTATGTAATAAAAACAACTGTGACCCCATCTTAAGCTCTGTTTTTTAACATGGACAGGCTCTAAAGATGCTTGACTGACCAAAGAATGCTGCTAGAGAAATTATTTAATGGCAGGGAGAGGCTATCTCACTCTACATTTATATTTAAAACCATTTCAAAACAGATTGTCCAATAAGAATGAGAGTGTTTATTTTGATGTCTGTGTCTCCTAGGGAGTGAAACCTGGCAGCTTTGACAAGGTGGCTATTCCTGAAGTAAAGGAGATCATTGAGGGCTGTATTCGCCAGAACAAAGACGAAAGGTTGAGGATTCACATAGACATGTAGAGAAAAGATTGGTGACATGTTTGCTAAGCGGCTGTCTCTGTGTCGTTTAGGTACTCGATCAAGGATCTGCTGAACCACGCCTTTTTCCAGGAGGATACAGGTGTGCGCGTGGAGCTGGCAGAGGAGGACGATGGAGAGATGGAGGCTATCAAACTATGGCTGCGCATTGAAGATGTGAAGAAACTCAAAGGGAAGTACAAAGACAATGAGGCAATTGAGTTCTCTTTTGATCTCAATAAAGATGTGCCAGAAGATGTGGCTCAGGAAATGGTAAATTTAGCATTAATCTTACATTAATTCTATAGTAAACTATTCACCATAACAGATTATTATGTGACTATTTACTCTTACTATAAATGTTTGTTCTTTTGTAGGTTGAGTCTGGTTATATATGTGATGGTGACCTTAAAACAATTGCCAAAGCAATTAAGGACAGAGCATCCCTAATCTGTCGTAAAAGAGCACAGAGACAAAAGGTGGATATCTTATCCTACAGGCTAGTAATATATTCAATCAGCACCGAGTTTTCAACATTAATATAATTTGTCTTGTGTCAAAGGTTCGAGAAGATCAAGAGAAACGTTTTGAAGATGAGCAGCAGAACCCTACTGTGCCTCAGCAACCAGCGCCACAACCCAGTGTAGAGGCTCCTGTGTCCCAGCCAGTGCTCCATTCTGCCCCCTATGGGTCACCACAGCCAAATCAGCACAGCTCTCAAGTGGCTCCTCAGTCTGCATCTCAGCAGAACCTGACATCTTCCAGCTACAGCATTCCTCAGTCTGGCCCTCTCAGCGGTGTTCCACATTCATTCTCCTATGTTCCTCAGTCCTCTGGCCAAATCCCTCTCACTGTCCAAGGCCAGAGTGTAGCTGCCAGTCAGCCAGAGTGTGAGGACGCTGAGGCAGACCAACAGCCCCATACTGGAGGAGGTGCAGGTTTGAAGCTGCTCATGTTTTGCTTTGTCTTAAGAAAACATTTAGACTCTAATTATCCTTCTCTCCTATAGGCATTCAAATGGGAGACAGACCACCACATTCATCCATGCCCCTTGATGTCCACCCTGCCCAGCCAGGTGTATCTTACAGCACTCCCACAGCCCAGCCCCTGTTTCAGCCCACGGTATTAAGTCCTCAGACACAAAGTGACCCGCCACCACAGCAGCCACTGCCAGCAGTCAGTAGTCTACCACATTTACACACATACACAGGTTCTTTAGGTATTTTAAATTCTTTGTTTTGCCATTTAGGTCCAACCTGTAAGTCAAGGCATCCATGGAGAAGCAGTTCCTGTTCCTCCCAGCAGCCAGACAGGTCCGGCTGTGCCTCAGCAGGTACAGTTGTGTATATATGTGTGTGTATGCAAAGACATAACGTAAACCTTCTGCAGGTTGAACAAGACTAATTGTTCAGTATTAGTTACATTTGAGTAACATCTTGCTTTGGTGCATCTATAGCAGATGCTTTTTCCCCAAAAAGACACCCATCCCTGCATAATTTATTTTTCTCAGCTTTCCTTCTCTTATCCTGTGTTGTTTTGTTTCTTTATAGTACGGCGTTTACTACCAATCAACTCTTCCCCCTCAGGTAGATAAAATGTCCCATTTTTATGTTCCTTACCTACAAACAACTATGTTTCTGTTCTATAGTTAATTTACAGGCACAGGTAAGTATGACTTCAATAAAACTGTACTCTGAAATGTAACCAGTTTGAGATAGTTGCACAAATCATGTTGTAATACATTTGGAAGAAAATAAAAATGTATACAGTAGGAAGGTAAGTACAGGTGCCATCACAACAGGTGATGTCAAGGTGTGGCTTGACCAATGTTTATTCTGCTTTTGTCTTTTGTACCTTGTGGTGTTTTAGATTCCTGTACAGCCAGGGGTTGTTCAGAATACGTCCCAGTTGTCTCCTCCACAGCCCCCTGCAGCAGACACTGGTGTGGTCAGCCAGAGCCCTGTTCTGCCACAAACACAGACTGGCATCCAGCAGGTACTGGTGACAAATGCATAAGTTTACTGTGAGACCTGTGTCTTGAGTTTAATTTCAAACCATTTTAAGCCTTTTCTTTCAATGGCTGAACTTTCTTTTTCACTTTACTTTTGCATGCTGCTCATTTCGCCATGAATCTATTTTAGTCTTGGGCCTGTGACCCAAGTCCTTCCATCGCATCTCCTCCTTTTGACGCAGAGCATCTTTACTTTCTCTTTCAGGCAACTAGCCCTCCTGCTCTGCAGGTACTAATCAGAGCTCATTGGGGTTTATCTTCGCACTGCTTTGTTTTTCATTCACTTTGCTTTAACTAATCATATTACTTTTAAATACAATCTCACTCACTCTCCGTACAGAAATAAAAAAATAATCATTAACGGATTAGGAATTCTTAATGCCATAAAAGGTTACAATACAACTTCTACAGACCAAAAAACAGTGTATGCCAATGCAAATCTTCATGTAAAAGTGTAAAATCAGAAGATTTTTTACAGGGGCAAGGTCCATTATGTCAGTTTGTCCTACTGGGGGTATAGTAGTAAGTTTGTAAAACATGCACTTAACTCATTTAACATTTGCTCACAGAAATCTTGCCCCTAATCATGTACTGCCCTCGAAATAGTTGTCCTATCACTTTTTTTTTTCCCTGATTGTTTTAGGCCCCTGTAAATGTCCCTCAGACTACACCAACAGAACAGCCGCCAGCATCAGGAGCCCCAGTGCAGCAGTCAATGGAGAAGTCAGTAGAGCTTAACTAAATTAATTTATTTTATTGTGTCTTTCATACATATGTCCAGCACTTTCATGGGCTTGACAAACACCATTAACAAGATTCATTGGCCTGTCAACTAATAGTCCATATTGTATTACAGCTGCTTGTCTGATACAGCATCAGGTCTGAGTGATGGAAATGAAGGAAACTCTACATCTGGTGGTCGCCATGAGGGACGCTCCCTGAAACGCCACCAACGGAGATCTGTTCGCAGCCGCTCTCGCCATGAGAAGTGTGCCAGAGCCAAGCTGAATGTTCTTAGTGTAAGGGCAGGCATTGTTCATATTGGTTTGTACTTTACCACAACACTCAACTAAATGTACTTTTAGATATCTAATGTCGGGGATCGAGTTGCAGAGTGTCAGCTCGAGACGCACAACAGGAAGATGGTGACATTCAGGTTTGATCTTGATGGAGATAATCCAGAGGAGATTGCTCAAATCATGGTGCTGATAATGCTTGCATTCTTATTTGTGGTGACTGTGGAACTGTTCTCACTTCACTCTGTATTGGATTAGGTCCAGAGTGAGTTCATTCTGGAGAGTGAGCGCGAGTCTTTCATCGAACAAATTCGTGAAGTTATAGAAATGGCAGATGAAAAAGGAGAAGGCATGAAGGAGGTGTTCCCACAAGTATGACCCATTTATAATTGGTTTAATACTGAAATGGAACCAATAAAAACAAACATTGATTATAAATGGGTTATTAATTGCATTTATTTTGTTCGTAGATGAGTGATCGTCAGCAACAGCAAGAGTTATCTGTGCCCATGTTACCAGGTTTAGAATCTTGAGCTGAATTATAAATCCCTAATGGTATGTTGATCACTGACATGCTTGTGTGCTTTTCCAGGCATTTCTCCCAACACTACAGCTCAGGTGGTGCATTCAGCAGGAAGAAGGTTCATTGTGAGTCCTGTGCCTGAGTCACGTCTTAGGGAACAGTTCTTTGGCCATCCGTCTTTTAACACCTCTTTTGGAGATGATCCAGTCTCTGGTATGGGTATACTTCATTATTGGACAGAATACTGTTTAAATTAGAAAAATAATTGGTTTGGTTTCAAAACCTCAGGGCCTTATCGTTGTATTTTGTTTTGTTTTTTCTTTTGACAGCTACCTCTGGATCCCTGGGCCTTTCTTTATCTGCACCAGCTTCAGTTCTGCAAGAAGGGCTTCGGAAAATAAAACAAGTAAATGAAGAGAGAAGTGATAAACCTAATCCTCCTGCCATGGAGCAAAACACAGGATCAGTCCCACCGGTAGAGACTGGTCATGAGTCTATCAGTAGCCATTTCTCTCCAGAGAGTGTGCCATCCACCACAAGCGCTACTTTTCCTGCTGCGTCCATGACTTCATCTACAAGCACCACCTCCACTACCGAGACGGTTTCTCCACCCACTGCATCCAGTCAAACACAGGCGCCTACTGCTGTAGTGCCTGCTCTGCCTCTCCAGTTAACCACTGAATCTGCCCAACCACAGCCCCCACAAACCGCTACTGCTCCCACTTCTATCTCCGTCAGTTCCCCCAGCCCTCAAATGCCCACGCCTCCAGTACCCACGCCTCCAATGCCGACATCACAAATGGCCACCCCTCAAGTATCCACCCCTCAATTGGCAACATCACAAATGGCCACCCCTCAAGTACCCACCCCTCAATTGGCAACATCACAAATGGCCACTCCTCAAGTACCCACCCCTCAAGTACCCACCCCTCAAATGGCCACGCCTCAAGTACCCCCCTCTCAGTCTGCAGGACTGGCCAATCCCCCTGTGTCCTCTAATGCTGCTGTTCCTTCTAACAACAGCAGCACCATTCCCGTCTCAGAGCAGCAACCTTTTAATGGTGCAGCTGTATCCATGCAGCCCACAACTACACCCACCCATCCCATACAGTCAGGCTCCCAAAATCCACCAGTGGCCAGTTCTAACCAGCAGCCTCCTTCAGCCTCAGTATCCACTCAGAACCAAATCCAGTCTCAGCCATCAGAGGCCGAAGGGGCAGAGGTCCAGACCAAGAGCGGGGGCAGGGATGACATAGAAGCTCTGGACAAAAAACTGCGCTCACTTTTTAAAGACCCACCTGTCACTTCCTCCACCTCTATGGACCCCTCTCAGAGCACAGGCACCTCCTCCCCTCCAACAGGTACCTCGTCTCCTCCCCCAGGGCAGGCTCTGGTGCCCCCATCCAACCTCCCCCTCACAGCTGGGACTGCTACTCAAGGACATGCCCAAACCCCACCAACTAAACCCAGGGCTCAGGTGAGTTCAGAATATAACTAAAGAACACAGCTTCAACATTCTCAATGTCCTTATTTTGTTTTTACATAGACCTTACCTGCTGGTTTTGATGCATCTGCAACACCTTCTGCTGACCTTATACCACCAATTCCTGGACCAAATCAACAACCGGTGATGAATCATTTAGATTCCCAATTGAGAAGAGCTCTTAGCCCAGAGACTGTGCAGGGAAATAATGCAGCATCAAACCCAGGGACTGGCTTCACACTTGGACGTTTCCAGGTGAGTGACAAATTACCATTTTTGATCTGAGCTGGTGTAAGTTTTAAGTTATTTTTGACTTGCTGCTCTGGTACAGGTCTCCGTGGCCACAGATACATCCAACACCGTTCCAGACGTCTCGAATGTGGTCTCTTCCGGCTCCATGACATCATCGTGTACCTCATCCTCTTCATCATCCTCTTCTCCATCAAGTCCGGAAAATACTCTTCATCGATCATCTTGTCTGTCCAAAGAAATAAGTGCCACTGATAAGAGAAATGGAGGCCTCAATGTCTTGTGACGATCTGAACAATGAGCACACCAAAACTATTGGACGTTTTCAAGTGTCCACCAGCTCCAGTACACCCCCCACAGGCAGTGCTGACTCTAGGGTGGGCCGCTTCTCTGTCACAGGTTTGTGTCTCATTGATAACCCCATGACCATGTTTTTCCAGCCTGCATTAGTACTGATGAGACATCTCTCAATCTCTCAACAGTGACCTCTTCTCCAGCAGACCACAATCCCAAGCATAGGACCACTCTGCAGAACGGGCCATCCTTATCCACTTCTGACCCCCACAACACACACACCCCTTACACCAGTGACAACGATGAGGATTCAGAGGCTGAGGATGAAGCACTGCAGAAGGAGATCAGCCGCCTCCGAGAAAAGTATGGGGCCAATTCAATGGACCATAGAATATTCATCTAGAGCTACTTTACAGCTGCTTACCTCCTGTTGTTGTGCTTGCAGACATATGTTGGAGATTCAGGCTTTGCAGACACGTCAGCAGGAAGAAATCGAGGCCTTGTTCACACGCATGGGAAAAGCTGCACCCCCTTCTGTACTATCACCGGCCGTGGTCATGGCTGGAGGCCGCCGCAGACTAAAGAGCAAGACCCACAAGTCTGCGCGCAGCCCCTCACATCCTGGTATGGACCTCTCTTACACTCACTGTTATCTTCACTTTGACTTTTGACGTAATCAACTAACACATCCACATTTGTAGGAACTCCTTTATCTGGCCAAAACCTTAAAAGTTCTGAGGCAGTTCCAAAGCAGGACTCTCCGTCTGGAACAGTTTTAGATCCAACAATAGAGACTTCACAAACAGCATGTAAATCACCTCAGCTGACTTCCTCTACTTCTATGCCAATCATTAGCTCCACTGGTAAGTCTAGACGCACAGGAATTGCTCAGCACAACATCACTTTAGATATGATGATGCTCACTTATATCCTCTATTTGCCAGAAACAAATATGACAAGTTCAACCAACGGTTCAGGTCCTGTTCACAACCACCACTCGTCTGGGGGCTCTGCTGCTCACTCCCAAAAGGGCAAGGGCACTTTCACTGATGACCTGCATCAGCTGGTGGATAACTTCGCTCGGGATGCAATCAGCTTATCACAGTGCAAGAAGGGTCCAAAGACAGGATCACAGGCAGGACATGATGTAAGTACCCTGTATTATATAAATTTGTTCTAACCTATTATTTGCTCACAAATAATAATCACAACCATTTCCATTCTTCAGCCAAATATCCCGCCAGCCAACCTGGGCCGAAAATACTCTGCTCCAGGCTACCTCTGCCCAACTCTCCCCACTCCACCCAACCCTGCATGCTCCACTTCGACTCAAATTCCAAACCAGGCCAATTCCTCAGTTCCTCTGGGCCCCCGAAAGGGTTCTTTGGGTCCAGTAACCCCAGGCTTTGGTTACGCCTCTGCCCCTTACAGCTCTACTCAGTGGGCCGGACCCACAGGCACGTGTCAGGTCAGCATGCTTAACCCTGCACAGCCCCTTGCCCAGTACCAGCCACCCACCGCCAGCTCAGTGTCGCTGCACCAGGGCTACCACATGGGAACTAGCACGGCTCCACCAAAGTCCAACTCTGGAGGGACTAATCTGAGGCCCACATAGCCCACAGTACGCTCATACAGAGGACCACTCAGAGCAAAGAGCACAGCCCCTAAACCACTCGCTCTTTTTGCTCTATGTTCTTTACTTGGCAACATATAATGCTTTTTTAAATTTTCATTTGTGTTTAGTTGTGATAGGGTTGGCCTGTGTGCCTGGTGAATGGAGGGAGAGTGCAATATTCATCCACAGCCGTCGCTTGTACACAAACCTATCCTGCCATCAGCTGTGGCTTCAACTGTGACACGTTGGTCAGTTGTGTCTGCTAAATAACAGCCCAAAGGCATAGCTGACAGCAGCCAAAGATACTGTCAGAGGAGAAAGTGAAATGCTGTCACAGGCCCAAATGTTGCCAATAATGACTATAAGCCACTTGCCATTTAAAAATAAATCCATGAGTAATTGGCATAGTAGAACTAGAGGATGTTTGAAGAGGCATGGGTAGCTCACAAGGAAATGGTGTCAGGATTGTAGGAGATGTGTCAAATGGAGGAGGGGAAATGTCAGATGAATGTTATGATAAAGAAGGACTGCGTAAGTTGGACAGAGGTGAATGAGCAGGGTAGCTGTGCAGTACAGAGGTCCTGGTGGCTATCTGTAAGAACAATGCAATAAGAGGAAAGGAAAACACATACTATCCCTTATAACTGTGGCCTTAATCTCCCAAACATCTTAATTTTGTACATATATATTTACTGGGTTATAATTCCATACTAAGTCTATTTATGTCACTGTGAGTCTGCTGTTAAGTGAGTTTTGTATCATACAGATTTCTTTTACTTTTGAGTTGATCCTTTACACCTGACCTGTAAGCCAGTGGATTCGCTATTCAAATGCATTGTCTTGGTGTTGAGCACCACTCATGATTTTAGACCTAGACAAGATGCTGCTGTAGATCACTATCTGGTCAAATGTGATTGCAGGGTGTTTTCATATTTGTATGGTGAGAGAGTTATTGTTTAGAATCCCAAAACCACTTTACCAAGTAGTTCTCCGTGAAACACAGGCAGTTCAAAGAATACTTCACTTCCCTTTGGGTTATTTGAATTGTATCAGTGGTATCTGGGCTTTGTCGGGTCCCAGGAGTTTACACAGAAATGCTGGTGTTGGTTTAGTCATATCTGAAAACCTCTAGTACAATATTAGATTCTTAAATCACATGTCTGGGGTTCTCTTTCTGTGGTCTGTTTTTGTATGCATATATTTAAGAAAATGTTCTTTATGGACCTGTATTCAACCATCAGATTTTGATGTTGTTTCACTGTAATTATTATTAAAGGTTGTTAAACAACATGTAGTTTAAGGAATATAAAAAGTGCAATTGCAGGGTTGTTTCTCTCGGTCTCTTCATGGCACAGGATTGATCCTGTGGTTTATTAAGCTCTTCTATGTATGACACCCTGCCCCTTTTCTATTTTCTTGTATATACAACAGTATGTTCATGTGAGGTCATGGTTTCACGTATTGCTCACTGTCACTGGAGTATGCTTGTGGTGATTTACTCTACACCATCACAAATCCGAGGAACACTTTAGTGCCTTGCATCTTCACTAATGAATAGTTCCACTCATCCAGCTGTAGCCGTGTGGGTCAGACATGCACAGGTGACATGACAGCTTAGGCACATTTAGCGTTCCACAGGACCAGGAGCTCAGAGGGTACATCCTTTCTCTGCAGCTACAGATGTGTATCTAATTGGCTGTGTATTATAATAGGCTAATGCATTCATGGGTTGGCTGACATTTGTTTTGTGGATTTCTCATTAAATTATTTCTTAGAAGCACTTGTTCTGGCAGGGTGATCTAAGAATGTGTAAAGGTCACAGCACCCCACGCTGGCCGTACTTCTGCAGCCCCTCACGAGTGCCATGCTGTCATTGTGACTGTCGCCTGCTCGTAGATATACTTCTCTAGAGAAAAAATAAGTTACTGCAATGCAGAATATGCAATGTTTAAAGTTTTATACGGAGGAGGGGTAATGGAAACATTTGCATGCTGAAGCGGGTTGTTACTGACTTCAACGTTTTTGATATTGAAATTAATTCTTTTCATTTTTTGCCTTCTTGAAAGTCATCAAGTGTTATCTGTTAAAAGCAATTCAACTTGACATGCACAACTTCAGTATCAGTCAGTATAGGAGATCTGCATGCCGGCTGCATTGATCTGTTATCTCCCACTTAAGCGACCTGTACCCAGTCACTGTACAGCACAGGCTCACAATGCTTCGGTCCTTGTGTGCTCCTAAACTACTTTGAGACATGATGTACTCTGCGTCCTCTGACACGCAGTAATATCTGTTCAGCATCAGATCTCTGGCTCCTTATGACTTCTGTGATTCAGTGTCTGTTTTGTGTATGTTTTTCACATTGTACAAAATGTAAAAAACAAATAAAAATATCATTTAAACTGATACTCTGCCCTTTATTCAGCAAGTGAACACTTGTGTCATACAAATGTACATGCAACTTAAAATATGGTCCCAATTCAAGCTTCACAGACTCCACACTTTTGTGCATCTTTAATGAGTCAATCTATGTACAAAATTGGTCTAAAACAAACACTGCATATACCTAGAAAAAAATCTCATAATAAATTACCATGTAATGACAAGGTTATGTGTCAAGTCTGCGTTTCTTCATGTGTTGTCCTTGTCTGTATGGACTGAAGGCCTCACCTGTAAAAAGATTTTGTAAAAGGTGAATGGACAGATAAAACTTAAAACTCCTGTACACTTAAATCTCACCTCTTGTCTGGTGACCTTGGTTTTGATACTGCGCCCTATACTGCCCTGTGTTATGTGCGTGCTCGGGGGGTGTGCCGGGTGGCCGCTGGGGGGTCTTGCTGCGCGTCTGCATGTGGTGGTTACTGGGCGTGCTGGGACGGTCCCCTCGGCTGGGCCCCTCCGCTGGGACAACAAGCTCATCCATCCCATCCAGGGTGAAGTCCCACAACTCAGGGTCATCTGCAGACAAGCACAGGTACAGGATGTGCTCAAATAGGCGGCTATTTATTTAGGTAAATTTGTTTCTGACATTGCAAATGTGAAGTCATATACCCATTTCATACACCTAGAGCAACATTCGAGAGAAGACAGATTAACTGCTGGAGCTAAAACTGAAAAAGACTACAGATTAGATACATTTTTATGCCAGTTGTATCTGGTATTTTTACTTTGGAAACACGAAAACTATATTCAGCCACTTTAACTATTATTTGGACTGGACCTAAACTTTTTGATGACTAGCTCAAAAGGCATATGACGTTTGTTCACAAGGCCCTCTAGTGGTTGATTACGGCACCTGCTAAATACTCCTTCTGTGGTATAGGAGGGGTTGACATAGGCACACGGCAATCTGAAAAAGATGATAAATTAAATGTTTAAAATATAATGCAAATGTAGAAACATGGTGCAAGATTTTTTTTTTAAAAAAAAAAATTCAGGCAGTGTGTTAACTGTTACCTAAATGTTTTTCTTAGCTGAAAGACATGAGCTGATTTGAAGCAGTATAACCAAATATAATGCACTAAACATTTAAATAAAGCACCTCCGCTTGAGTGATTCTTGTTGGCACCCCCCGTCTCATGGGGCTGGTAGTGCTGTTGTTTCTCTTGCATCTTCTTGGCCTCCATTTCTTGTCTGAACTTCTGCTGCAGTTGCTGTTGTCGGAGCTTCCGCAGTTGTTTGGGGTCTGTCATTGTCTCTGAGCTTGTCGCATCCACTGGGTTTGAGCTGGATCTTGATGCAAAAGAAGATAACTCCCAATATAGAAAAACTCCTCTTCAGATCCTCCTAACTTCTAATCAAATCTATGGTCATGTTAAGGTCTTTGTTTTAATTTTTGAGAGTATTTGGCCCTAATACTCAAATAATTCTACAGTGATTCTTTGTTAACATTGGCTATTTCTAGTTTGCCACCTGCTTATCTCCATGGAGATGTTAATGTATTGGCTGTAATATTTCATAATATGGTATTAAACATATCCATCTTCCATTTACATAAATTACAGGTGTTTTTATTGCATTTTTATTGCAACATGCAATCTTCGTGAGCAAGGTTACCTCTCCACATATCTAACTTAGTGGCATTACACGCTTATCTCTGTGGAGTTAGAGTTAGGGATTAGTTAGTTTAAAATTCAAACTGTGCAACATTTCAGTCAAAGTAATAACATCTCCATGGAGACAAGCACAAATAAAAAACAATTATTTTATTATAGACTAAATACACATTAATGGTCCTTAATAGTCCATAAAGTCTGTAAAATTTGACCTTTTTGGATAGAAATACCTATTCCAAGAATGCTGAGGGGTTAGGAATTAAGGAAACGAAAATAAAGAAAATAAAGACTATAATATTACTAAAAGTCACTACAGCAAATGTACATTTTTGTGGTTCACCTTGAAATAAATGTATCTGTCCTACAGCTGGGTGCAGGGGCAGAGTTTGTTTGATTTTGATGGTGCTGGTGTTTGAGGTTTCTCTGTTCCAAGGGGGTTCTAGGAGGTTCCACTGACACTTTTTTTCTCTCTTGGAGTAAACTGGAAAAGCGAGCCTTCTCAACAGCAGGCTCTCCTGCTGAACGCTTGGTTTGGGCTGGGTCTAGAGGGGCTGGAGGCTTGGAGGAACAGAGAGAACACACAAAGTTGTCAACCAGGCTGTTCTCTCACTAAAGAAAAAGGTAAGATTATTATAAAGTACAACAGTCAAACCTGCTTGGGAATTTTGTTAATAGAAATGAGGTACTCCTTATCCAGAATGCAGTTCCCAAGAGCATTGCCGAAGCATCTAACGTAAAAAACAAACACATTTATGATGCTTAGTAGTTAAATGTGTAAAAAAGATAGTATCATAATTAATAACTTTTTGGGGTATTTATTGAATTTAAATGACCTGTTTTTGTTTTTAAAATTGTCACAATTATTATTATTATTTTATTTTATTTTATTTTTACATATAGTGGTTGTAAATAATCACTATTTTTAATTAACCAAATGATCCCTGAGGAGAAATATTTCCATTCCACACACAAGTTGTATTTTATTCATTTTTATTCCCATTATGTTAGTATTGTCCCATGATACTGAAATAATGTTGCCATTTTCATTAAATATAATCAAACAATTTCTTGTGTGAAAAGTGTGTTGCTTTATCTTCCTATTTACTCCCTTATAATACTTCTATAAATTGAAACATTATTTTTAAATTGACAAATCTTGACATCCCTTATGTATACTGTATATATGTGATATATACTGTAAAAATAAATAAATAAATAAATTTCAAAGTACTTTAGAGCTCTCTTCATTCCGTCAGTGACTGCTTCCTTTCTGGCCTTCTCCAGAGACAGTGCTTTAGACTTGAGGCCTTCACTGACTCCATAGCCCACATCCTCATGGAACGAACCATCCTGAAGACACGCAGGAGGGTCGAGTGGTTAGACATTAATCAAAGATATGTAAAAAAGAGAACAAATCAGAAAAGAGTCTCAAACCTTTAGTGTTACTTTGACAAAGGCACTGACGCCTACATAGAACTTGCCATTAATGATGTCCACGAAGTCTAATAGAAAAGTGGACACAAAGCTAAAATAACATGATAGCATATCATGCTAATATAACAGAAATATTGTGGAGTACATACCCACATTCTGCTGTGAGATGGAGTGAGACCAGCCATTGTATCCAAACATCTCATTGGCCAGGCTGATGACACGATGACCCTCGATATAACACACCTGTACAATTGATAAGCTTTCTTTAGGCTGTGATAAATATATGTTATTATACATTCATGGTAGTACAAATAATGAATAAATTGCAAATTTGTTGAATAACATACAATGGAACATTCCAGACAAAGCAATAAGATGATTTATGATGAATAACATAGGTATCCTGGTTAAATAAGAGTGTATTTAGTAATGTAGTGTAGTAAATATTTTAAACAGAAATTAATTAGAAACTTGACCAGATGCACGTTTATAGTGTGTTATAGACCATTCTGTTCGCTGTCTGTAGAAGCTTTTGGAGCACCTTCTTATTTATACTTAGAGCCTACAGAAAAAATTCTCACCCTCTGCCCTCCTCCTGCCATTCGGGTGCTGATGTACTCTGGACCCAGTTTCCGACGTAAAGCATCGTGCACTGCTTGATACTCCTCTGCGGTGTAGGTGCACTGACAACACACCCTTGGTTAATAATGCATCGAGAGTGTAGCTATATAAAAAGGCCTAGTAGCAACATTGTCCATTCACTGTACCTACCTGTCCAAATGATTTAGCCTCAGATCTGCTCTTCTCTGAGTTTGTAGACATGGCTGAGTGACTTTATGCAGTATCACGATAGCTTTGAATCCTAGTCACAGCTGTGTTTAATGACATGCAATCAAATAAAATAAAGATAACTCAGTCTCCATTTAGAGATGACAAGCTAGCTAGTTTAGCCAATTTGCAACCAGAATAGAAAGGCATCAATTTATTTTATAATAATTGTTATCAATTAATAAACTGTTTAAAATATTCCCAAATGCATTCGCAACATTACCAATAAACTTTGTTACTTTTTAGCAGTCGACAAAAATGTAAACAGAGAATTAAACTTCCCGCTCGTGTGCAGTTTGGAGGTGGAGTTTCCGGTGCGTTCAGATGCTCTTTGGAAATAACTGAAACACGTTAAATATATGGCTCGTACTTGTTTCTTTTGTTTTTCTGACAGAATACATGTCTTCTGTTTATTTCCAATTTAATACATTATTAGTTCGTCTGATATGCTCTGAGATTTTATAATGTATTTCCGTGACAAACAATTCAAACTAGGTTCGTGTTGCGATGCGTAAAGTTAAAATTTCCGTGATGACTTTCAACGCACCATAAACCCATTGAATCGGTCTCTGATTGGCTAATGGCTGTTGATAGGAATGACTGCTGTTGTGGGGTTATTTTTATGTTGTCTGGTATCCTTTTTTGGACAGTTTTGCAAAGGTAGCCTAATTGTGACAGCATTAGACTAGCATTTTGTTTTACCCACGTTTATTAAGTAGGACAACCAATTATTCTATAAATTGTTATTACAAGACTATTCTAACACCCTTCTATTTGTTGAGCACATTTGCAGAAATAATATGCATCCCATATGGTTCAGAAAACATAGACTATTCTCAAACTATACATAGCAAGTAACCTGCCACCATGAGGTCTTGTTGTTCCTAGTATTAAGACAAAGACCAAAACACTTCCAAACAGGACTATACCGGAATGTCTAAGGAGTAACCTAAGTAAGTCATTATTATTTATTTTATTAAACCAATTAAATACACTATACCACCATAGGCTAAATGTCTGGTGCTCGGTGGAATCTGCCTGGCATAGGATCTTGTGTTTAGCCTTCATGGAGCAGATTATGCCAAATGTCTGAGTGTGACAGATGGCAAGACTCCCACTGTGATAACGTAGGGTCAGCACTGGACACTTTACACCTATGGATCCTCCTGCATAAACAAATGCTGTTCTTTTATGCAACTGCAGAAATACCTTAATTCAGCCTCAGTGACTTCACATCAGCTGGAAATATACCCCATTTGCAGACATAGGACTTCACTGTTTGTTTGTTTGTTTGTTTGTTCTTTAACAGGATACATGAGAATAACATACTACTCAGTTTATGCAATTAATCAATAATTATTTATTTGTAAATTGAGCAACCCCCCACCTACACCGCTTGGTCTCAGTAATAAGAATGAGCCTGCATTTTACATAGGCTGGCTCAAAGAAAGTATGTTTGTAGAATTAGGTAATATATTTTTTTCCTGTACAAAAGGTTTTTAATTGACCATAAAAAAATAAAAATAAAAACAGGCTACGCCACTGTATTCCAAAATGTGCTTAAATATGGATCACTGTCAGGCTTGGTGACTGCTAAATGCCCATAGATTCTTTCTCTTTACTCCTTTTTGACATTCTTTTTATTCACTTCCAGACAATGTTTCCACTAATGGTTTAGGCCCATTGTTGCTAAGGCTCTACAAATGTTTTGAAGACTCATGAATGATACAGTAGGCTCCTTGAGGTAGACACATGACCAAAAGCCCAGGGGAACACAACTAAAAACACTGGGAGGGAGCCAAGCATAGAGCTGAACACAAGAGCATCCTTTAAAAATACACGTCTATAACACCCCGCGCGTGCACGTTTCGCTCACAGCCACGTGCACGAGCTCAGGTCCTTTGCATCTCGTCAAAACAAAGCGGGGGCGAGCAACGAGGCAGCGAGCGGTGCGAGGCTACACCAAGGCACAGGGCGAACGAGCCGTGCCTTCCCTGTGCGTGCTTCATGAATGAATCCCACTACCACTGCGCCCACTGGACCCTCGTGCTCCTGAGACCCGGGAGACTGCGCTCATCAGCGTGGGAAGAACGGAAGACGTGTGCCCCTGTGATCTGATGAACCGCTGGATACCAGACACTTTCCATTCGTGATACATGAGCGTTTCAGTCCCGAAGGAACTCGATAGCATACGGCACGGTGGGTACATGGGATTCAGTGGGCGGGTGAAATTAAGGTGCATGATACAGGCAACTTTTGGGCCATTATGGCAATTTTAGCCTCTACAGGTCGGCTCTGGATGGGCACCACGCTTGTGCCACGTTAGCCTACTTGATCTCATTCTGGCGTTCCCACAGGTAGATGGAAAAAACAGGGAAGCTCCACGTACGCACGGCTCCTTGTACATTCTACCTTGTATACGCACCGCTGCTTGCTGTTTCGACCAAAGCCAATAGGAATTCGCGTCAAGGGCGTTTATCAATATAAGAATTAAGTGAAATCGATGTGACTGTAAGAGCCCCCCAAAAGAAGACAGGAAGGAGGAGGGGGTGGGGTGGAGAAGAATGCCCAGACTGGTGTGGCATGGCACGTCTAGTACGCTGCGTGTTGTCTGCGCTTGTTTGTGGGCAACATGGGAGCTATGGAAGTCCACTTTACGCATTCCCTGTAAACATGCGGATACCACGCTATGTTAATACTTAAGGGGTGGCATATGGGAGAGCTTGGCGTGTCTTTGTCTGAGCAATGGCATCCCAGACTGCTGTTCACCCCCTTGGCCAGGCGATGGTGCTTTATTATGATGTGTGTGTACAGTAGGCTTCTATGGGGAGTCACCCAAATGCATGATTCTAGTGTAATACCAGATTACTACATCATGACTACGTGGCCATTACAGGAATTAGAGAGACAATAGGCAGTGGTTTGTCTCGTTCAATCCGTGTTTATGGAACTGTGGTTAAGGTTACAGAGGAGTCTTGCAAAATACTTATTATGTTGTAATAACGGACAACAAAATCAAGAGTTACCAGAAGCAGCAAAGAACATGATTACAACCAGTTACTGCAGGTGATTTTCACACGTTTTATGTCTGCTGTACCGTCTGCTGTTATTTATCTATAAATGATTCATTATTTAAAATCTAAGACTTTCTAGATAGTCCAGCTGGACAGGAATCTTTTGGCTATTCCCTTTTTCTTTCGGGGTCACTGCAACAATGCAAGGTGGATTTGGAAGTGTCTTGTCTAACACAATGGCAATGTGATTGAGGTGGGTGAACACTAGTTTGAGGAAGTGTCACCACAGAAGTACCATTATTAGTAAAAAGAAGTAAGTAATAAAAAGTGCATTGTTACATTTAATAATTTTGTATTTCACTTGAAAAGCATCTGTTTAAATCATCATTGGTTTGGCTGGATGTAATTTGCTTTGTATTGTTGTCACAGTCAATAGTGTTGTCAAAGTACTAAAATTTCAGACTAGATTTTGATTCTAAGGAACAGACATCTAGTTTCAATAGTTTTATAGATCAGTATCTGATTTTTGTTACTTTTGACAACTCTAGCTAGCCATCTTTGATCCATGAAGAATAAACTCTTCACTTTTTACTAATCATTTGAAATATAGTTTTGCACACTTAAATTACAGTTAAAACCACTAAGGCATGTTTAATATACAACATTTCTATAAAACCATGACTCACCCCATAGTTTATAATATCTTATAAATCTGTGTACATATCACTTGAATTCCATATAATTCAGTGTACCATTCCTTATTCATACATGCCTCTTCTTCCTCCAGATGCTTGATGGACTTCGGAGGAGACATGCCTCGCGGACTTCCCCCAGGCCTCTGTCCCTCAACTTCAGCACCTTCTCTGCTCCTCCCCCCAGCCCGGACCTGGATGGTGGTACTGATCACCCAATCCGTAGGTAAGCTACATCAGATACTGCATGGTGAGACTGACTGACATCTCCCCACTTCATGAAATATACATTAGCATTTATCCCATGGTCCCCAAAGATTTAATTAACTATCGAGCATCACTTTAAGTTCATGTTGACCTAACGATAATTATCTCCGGAGGGATACTTGATTGACCTGTGAGACTGTCTTTAACGTGTTTGTGTGCATAAAAGTGGGGATGTGGGTGTCAGTTGTGGTTGGATTCATTTCCCTTTTAGTGAAAATGGAAGCAGCTATTTCTGTATATGTTTGCTGAATTGCTGTACATCAATCGTATGTATTATTTATAGATGTATGGATGTAAAACAGTTAGCCAGTAGAAAAATTATAAGTGTGCATTAATAACTATCTTGCGAGATTATGCATTGACATTTTTAGAGGTCATGAACACATTATTGAACATATTATTTGTTAATAAAAAACAAAAAGTGTAAAATAGGAAAGTATTTTAGTCACTATTGATATTCTTAATACACAAAAGTTGTTGAGTGCAGTCTGCATCTAAGGCTGAATTTGCAATTATATGTTGGGCAGGATTCTGTTAAGCAGAATTGTATATTGATTACTAATTAAATTATAATCGCAGCTTATACTGTTTACTTATTGGTGATGACACAGGAAAACTACAGGCAAAGTGCAGCAGAGCAGAAAATACCCTAGTTATTGTTTAACCTTGATGCAAATAATTAGGCTAGTTTGGTGCATGGATTTTTATTAGCAATCTATTATCCAAATATTGTGGTATCAACAGTGTATCATCCTCATGGTACCATAATCATTGATTGTTATATATTGAGGACGTGCATTGAATTGTTAATTTTTTTGTCTCTATAAATGACCCAAGACCATTTGGTGCAGTTGTGACTATTGATTGTTCATATTTGACTACTCAGGGTGTGCTGTGAAATGGTGCAAATGGCAAAGTACTACGACGTAGGCTACACTATTTTAAATTGCAGTATTTTTGGTTTACTGGTATTGGCTCAGATTGTGTATCGGTTCCAGGTATGGTTCCACTAATATCCTGGTTGGACTTACAAAGTGATGTAATAACATATTTGCTGGGCAATATTATATACTGCCTCATCCCTTAGCTTAAATGTAAAATGTTGTGATATTTATGGCCAAAGGTATATTATTTTAATATATTAATATAGTATAGTATAATATAGTATAGTATAGTATATATTTAATATAGTTTTCTGAAAGAAAAAGAGAAAAGGGTCAATAATTTCTGAATGGCTCTTTTTTACAAACTAACCACAATGACATTGAAAAGAGAACAGGAAACCTGTTCATTCTTACACCATTGTCCAAAGCTTCATATCCTTATTGTTGTTG